CAGAGCTGAAAGAGGAAGTGGGAATGAGAGTCAACCTTCCAACTTCGCCTTTATGGGCTTTTCAAGGGAGAAAAAGGCAACCACCCATCACCACTTCATGGCTAAGAAGGCAGTGATGGGGGAAGAAGTGAAGAAACTTCACAGGCCCCACTGCCCCCACAAGTGCCAAGTTGGTGACCGCTCATCTACTTGCTCAAGGCACGGGGTGGGTGAGTGGCCGGCGAATTGAGATCAAGGAAAGTTGCCGCACAGGTTTCCTCACCAAAGATGCGGATCTTGGCTGGCTGTGTAGAACAAAGAAGCAGTTCTAAAGAGCTGGACTCCACCTGCTGGAAATAGTTTTGATCACATGACTCAGGGTTTATAGCCACAAGGCTCTCGCAGGCAGATTTATAGGATGGAAACATCAAGATCTTAGTTAGCTGGCCTTGCTCTTCCCCTCAAAGTGCATCGGTGGTATGACAGCCCCATGGATTATGCTGCAGAACTTGCAATGTGAATTGTAAAAGAAATAAATAACATGTTCAAGGCAGTAACAGAAGTATGGGGAGCTAAAACTGCCATCGTCCCTGGCTATGGCTGATGTAGATAAGTAACATCTGAAGGGCCAAAGGTTACCCACGCCTACTGCAAGGACAGGAAAGGGAAACCTGTGGCCCTCAGCCTCATATCATATAGGTGGCAAAGAAGAAAAATGGGGTGGAAAAGGGAGAGGGAGAAAGAGAAAGGCACAAAGAGAAAAACAGAGATTTTGCTTTTGGCTCCCATCTGACCCACTGCTTATAGGTGTCCCCTGGCAGATCACCGAGGAGGGAATGTGGCCCTACATAGAAAGGTTCCCCCTCCCACACAGAGAGAGTAATAAAATCCTGTCTTATCAGAGGTCAACCAAATGCAATTTATAAACCTCTACAGACTTTACAATAACTGCATGGTGGTCTGAAAGGCAGCCCACACACCTAAGTACTTTGGGGGTGGCAACAGACTGCATACACATCATCCATTTAAAGCACAGCTCCCCACAAGGAATCCTGGGAACTGAATCTTAACTCACAAAGAGCTACAATTCCCAGCACCCTTAACAAACTACAGTTCCCAGGATTCCAGTGTGTGCGTGCTTTAAATTATCCTGGGAAATGAATCTTAACTCACAAAGAGCTACAATTCCCAGCACCCTTAACAAACTACAGTTCCCAGGATTCCAGTGTGTGCGTGCTTTAAATGTATGGTGTGCATACAGCCAGTGTCACACACTTCAGGTTTCAGAGGAAGACTTTAGGCTCTCCAAGTCTTTCTCTTTTTCCATTGTTTTAAACAACTGCAGAAAAATTGACAGGTTACTTGCCCCCTCACCCACACCCCCGCCTTGTCTCATGGAAACCAATCTTACTCAACAGAGACAGCTAGACAAGAGGATGTTTAAAAGCCCAGGTTATAAAAGAGAAAATTAAAAACAACCACAGCCTGCTCTTCAACTTAGTTTACTTTTCCTAGTGGCAAAATGAACGTTCAAGGAAGACGAATGGGAAAGTTCGGGTGACGCTAGCTCTAGAAACAGGAAGGATGAGGTGAAACTTGGAATGCTGAACTGCGGTGTGGGCAGCTGTCCAAGGTAGCTCTCCAGATATTCTCAAACTGCCCATGGAGCAGCCTGCAACCTTGGAGACACCGTTGTCTCTTTAATAAAAAGTCATTTGCCCGTCAGAGAGGAGACAACACTTCTGCAAGAACCAGTAGGATGTGGACATGAGTTGTACCATGCAGACTTTCTGGAACAGAATCTGGTCCTCAACACGCCTGGGCCCAGCTGCTCAGCTCTTTGAGTGAAATCTCTGTTGATCTCTTTGGAGCACATTTGTAAACAGCTCGGCAGCTTGTCCGCTCCATGCAGCCAGCACTGAGTTTAACGCGGAGACACTGGAAACATGAATGACTGCATGCAAACCCCAGCCGGAGATTGCTAGGATATGTCACGCCTCTTGTGGACATCTTGTAACAGAAGCCTTCCCTCTTTCTGGGAAGGGGCGGGGAAGCAACAGAGCAGCATTGCTGGCAAAGGCAGTCCACTTTCACCATCTAGTGGCCCCCCTCAGAAATGCGCAGAGGTTGGTTCCATCCTAAATTCCTGCAGAAAGTATACCAATCTGGCTCTGAAGGGTCCTGCAGCTCAGAATATATGGGTTGGTACACAACAAAGGCTGTATGCTGGGAATGAGTTTTAAATTAAAGGGTGCACAGTATTCTCCAGAAACTGTTCCAGTGGCTAGGGGTTAATATTATTTCATGCCGCAAGCCCTTCATTACTTCTGGAGATAGGAACCTGTGATTCTCCAGCTGCTGTTAATGCTCTCATCAGTCCCAACCAGCACAATCAATGGTCAGAAATTATGAGCTGCAGCCCAGAAACATCTGGATGCCCACAGGACTTGAGCACATCAGCACTGTCTTCTCCTACAGTTTCCAACAACTAATACAATACAATCACATCTTGTGCAGGAGTTATAGTCCAGGAATGCCGCAACTACTCTTACCTACCTCTTACCTACCAAGCAAGGCAGGGGCTCTTGCAGGGCCATCCAATATCTTGGATTTCTTTTTCAAAGTTTGTGTTTCTTTTCGTTATTTAGATTGAGTTAACTCTTCCATTTTCTAAAGGAAACCTTCTTGTACTACCTACTTAATACAAAATGTTATTGGGACTCTTATCAGCACCAGCCAACATGGTCAATAGTTATGGATGACAGGAGTTGCAGTCTAGCAACAACTACAGTGTAACCTTGGGTTACGTACCGTCCTCCTTACGAATGCTTTGGGTAATGAGCTCCGCTAACCCAGAAGTAGATGCTCGTGGTTGCGAACTTTGCCCTGGGATGTGAACAGAAGTTATGGGCCAGCAGGAGGCCCCATTAGCGAAAGCGCGCCTCATGTTAAGAATGGTTTCGGGTTAAGAACGGACCTCCGGAATGAATTAAGTTCGTAACCAGAGGTACCACTGTAAAAAACACCAGCTCAGGAAAACCTGGCTTTGTCTCACCTAACACACAGGTCCTATTCCCCAAGTTGGGACCAAAGGATTCCAAAGATCAGAATACAGTATCACAGGAATAAGTATTCTAATACATATTACAAGAGGGAGGAGGGGGAAGAGCAGAGTATGCATGTAAAAACCACAGCTGCCTTCTGTTAATTTTTCATTCAGTACGGGCCCCACAAATAATTTCTGGGAGCTGCAGATGAAGAAACAGGCCAAGGAACTAATTATCAGCCGCTGAAGAGACTACTGGTGGCCTGAGAAAATTCTGCTTTATTTGTTCTGTCCTATTTCAGTATTTTACACTGCAGGCCTTTCTAGCCCAAGCTGAAAGACAAAACACAACTGTACAGATTGTCATGACAGAAGAAAGAATGCCTAGCAATATTCTGATATTGCATATATACACACAAAAGAGAACACTAGCTCTTTTTTCACCTTGCTGATTGGTGGTTGAGGAAAAACTCTTGTTTTTCTTCAGCCTGGACTGAAGGCAAGAAACTCAAGAAAGTCCAGGTAGCTACACCCTTCCATTTGGCAATTCATTCAGACCTGCAGAGTATATGGTTCAATTATGTACACACTAGCTATACTTGTTGTTGGAGAGGCTTGCCCCCCACAAAAAAAGAGCAATCACTTTGTCATCCAGAAGTGTATAATAGGGAATATGGCAGGTTGCCCTTTCCAGCTCTCTTTTAACCATGAAGTCTCAAATCACTTTTAAAAACCATGCGGACAATGCCCAATGAAGGCTCAAAAATCAGGAGCGAGGGCAGGAAATCCTCCAATCAAAAAAAGCAACATTTAGCGGCCTCTCTTTTCCATTCTGCTTATTGAATAACAATTCCTGTTTGCAAAACAGCCTCTAAATGAAGTATGGATCTTGCAGTGCTAAACGTTACATACTTTAAACTGAACTACTATAGTAAGGCCAAACAGGACACAGATGACTAGCCTATGGGCCCTTCAAACGATGGTGGACGCCAACTCCCATCAGCCCTTACCAACAGGACTAATGGACAGGGAGGGTGGGAGATGTAGTCCGGTCCAGTAACATCTGGAAGGCCAAATGTTATACACCCCTGGACTAAAGCATCAGGTCTAGCAAAGGTCCCTACCAGAGCACACTTAGATGAAAAATCCAGAATTGAAATTGCTGTATCAGAGGATGATCAACTCACAGTTGAATGAACAGATGCAAAGACTTGTCCAAAATAAAAAGAACACTGCTGTAAGCCAAGTACATCATAATAACTGGTCACTAAAAAAAACCTACCCACAAAATACATAGGAGGCGCTAGAAGCCAACACTCACATTTCATTTGTGACCCATTCTCAGGGTGCTACTACTCTAGGAATTTCTTGAAGATGTTTTACTTCAACTAGGCTTTGAGACGTGCTTTAATAGCTAGAGGCATGGACATCCCAAAAAGTTTATTTGTTTGCCGTTATTTTACAACAAGAGAACAAACTTCTCTTTTGAGGAAAGACACCACATTTGGATATTAAATCCAAACCAAAGCACAAGCACAAAGTAATCATGGACATTTTCTTCTAAGCTACGGGGTTCTGGAATGCACAAAGTAAAAACAAAATCTCCAAAATCCTCCCTACAAGGCAAAATAAATCTCAAAACTGGCCAAGAAGCCTCCAGTCAGCAGAGCATGGAGGGAAGTTTTAAACTAGTTGTTGAAAAGTGAGTCCTGAAAAAATATATATATATAAGGGGGGGGCGTGTCCTGAACTCATAGCTCAAGAGGTTCAGGGAGGGAAAGTGTGCTTATTTCTTTAAAAAGACACACGGGCTATAAGTTGTCTCCAATCTCAGTCCTACTCAGAGTAGACCCACTGAAGTTAATAGACATGATGAGCCAAGATTCATTAATTCTAATGGGTCTATAGTGAGTAATATTTAGCTGGGTTCAACTCTTTAGACATAAATCATAAATAAAAGTATTCTCAGTCGGGCTTGTGAAGATACTTTATGTTTAATACATCTGAAAAATGCATATACAAAGAACTTAGACATGGAAAAAAGCATCAGTTCAACACTAACGAGACTATAAGAATTAGAATTTGGGAAGACTGAGAAATATTAAGCCAGAGTATAGTTCTAGTAAGATCCCTATTAACACTGGAGTCAAAGACCCTCACATGGTGTGTTATACTAAGCAACAACCTGGGGAGGCAAGAGCTGCTGACACACAATGCACTTTTAAGGTAATTCCTCTACTGGTCCCCAAGGTGCCGTATTGAACATCTTTCCCATCCATATTTTCTCCTGATGGAGGCGTGTCTCCTTCCCCCTCTTCAAAGAGAATGCTAAACCGTTTTGCGGCATAGTCAGCTGGTTAGCTTCAACCCTCCATTACAGCAGGCAAAGGCCATGTGAGTGGGTTTCAAAATCTCACTCATGTGGCTGATCAGAAGCCTCTGCTTGCCAAGAGAGAGGGCTGGTTGTTTAGCAAATCCAATGGACTGCACTAACTTTAAAAAGATGCAGTTCTCCCCTTTCAATTAATGCCTAATAATGTCAAGTTTTGAAAACTAACTACAAAAGAATTAGTAATTGGCAAAGTTAGGTGGGGTTTGTGTAGATGTGTGTGTGCGTTACACACCCAAAAAAAAAAAAGCTTTTGGCGTAATATATAAACAAAAGACTTGTTTACACATTTCATGTTTTAAAGGGCAAGATGGGAATTTCTGACCTGCTTGGAGAAAAGAAAGGGAAACAGATTGAAGGCAACTTCAGAGGAGGTGCAGGATGAACTACACCCCTCTTCAATGGAGCACCAGTTTTGGGACATTCTCATTTCCAGAATACGTTCCAAGGACTGAAACCTGCTCCCCCTAGACTGCAAGCTGGCCACAGAAGATCAAAGAATCCAAGCAGCGCCAGCCTGGCATGATGGGGAAAGGCTTGGAGGCCAGAGCCTAAAAGTTAGTCTGTTACAGAGAAAAATCACCACAAGCATGCCTGAATTTTAAAAACAAAGAAATTAAACAGTAAACAAACAAAAAACCCTAGTACTGATCAGTGTTTGCTGAAATACAATATTATTTTTTTTTAAAAAAAAATTCAACTAACTGAAGGGCACTGGAGGAAGAGCACTAACATTTGCATCTCACACAGGGAGCGAATGGGAAGAGGGTGCACGACATTTGTCATTATTGCAAAAACAAATGGGAAAATCTGAATCTTTAGTTTGATTTCAACATTGCTTTTAGTATGACATCAACACCAGCTTTGCAGAAGGGGGCCGTGAAGGGATGTTCATAGCAGCACACATCTGCGGCTCTTCTTCGGCTCCGGAGGCTCCAGGGCAGCCAATATCGCCTCGTCAAATACATTCTTTAGGCCTTTCTGAAAAGGGGCAAAGAGAAAGGGGCTGTCTCATTTTCTGGGTTATTAAAAGCAAACCGTGTTTTAAAAAGCCCACAAAGACAAAATTAAAGATTGAGTAGAGATGAAGATCCTGCAGTGAAGCAATATTCCTTTCCGAGTGTCTGAACCTTGTTTATCAGTTTTTTTAAATGATAATAATCGTAATAATAATACAGAGGACCCAACATTTAAGCCCATAAAACAGCCTGAGGATATTTTCAGCAAGTCTCAATATTTCAAGAAATGAAGTATATGTACTAAAGCAATTCCCATGGACTGTGTGTGTGTGTGTGTGTGTAAGTAATATTACAACTCACATGCTAATGACAATGCATTATCCCCTGTGTTGAAAAAGAAGTAATGATCCAAGGAAAGGGGGCAAGTGACACCCAGGTTAGATTAGCAAGCAAGCAAGAATGGAGAATCCTTTGGCACAAATCAGCCAAGCCGTGTGACGTACCATGTGTTACTGAAGCAGCAGAAGTAGACTTGGAAGCAAGGAATGGTAGTAGACTTCAATAATGGGAAAATGAACAGATAGGTACTATAGTGTATAAATGTTAAACTGAAGCAAATGAATGCAGACAGGAATAATGCTTCATCAGGCATTTATACAAACAACTAATTTTAATTTTGAAATGTAAAGAACTACAATTGTATGTCTTTTCCTTCCTTCAGACAACAGAAGCCAAATGATATGACTTTGTTTTAAAGAAGCTTTACATTTTACAGTTGCAAGTTTTGAGAATGAGTAAAAATAAGTGATACTGTGTCACTGAAAACAGAAGTTAAGACGTCTGTCAAGCAGTAGCAGGTACACCAAACTTCCTTCCCCTCCCACTTAGAGGACCAACAAATACTCCACTACAGCACAAACAGCCAAAGCAACAGCAAGCCCCACTGCACAGAGGAAAACCAGAAAATCCTTCACCATTTCAGCATCACTTGCAGGTCACTATGTCAGGTACAATCATCATGCAAATACAGTTAACAGAGCCACAAGAGAGAAAATGAATTGCACATCACTTCTCATTTGGATATAAAAACTCTTAACCAGGTTTTCACTTATTCCTCTCAAGTTTAACTTTTGAAATAGACCTTCAGTCCCTTAGCAACCTAACTTATAAAGCTATTAAAGATCCAGCAACCCAAGAAGCAAAAGGTTTAAGCGAGTCCAGTTCATGTTCCATAGCCATAACGAATTGTATAAGCAGTTTCCAATCCAAAAGCTAATACAGAGTTTGCTCTAAGACGTTAAGTAAAGACACAGCTTCTTTCAATCAGGATGGTTTTATTTGTTTTTCAACCAACTTTCTACAGCAGCAGGACAGAGGAAGCAGCAACAAGAAAGGAAAAAAAGAGGAAACTGTTTTAGAATATACAGCATTTCCGTTTGGGTTGAGTTTCCGGAGGCTCGAGGGCAGCTAGGATAGCCTCATCAAACACATTCTTCAGACCTCTCTATAAGACAGAGGGAAGGAGAGAAAAATAGTAGCCAGGTTAGAGGATTAGAGAGAGACACAAACACACACACACTCACACAAGCAGATACAAAGAGCATTCAGGATAAAGGTGGTCAGCAAAGCAGATTTACTTTGTAACAAAGTAGATCTTTGAGGGAAAGAGGAAACAAGACAAGCACAGCAGGGGCTTAGCAAGAATGCTACCTAGATACTTGTAGATGTTTTCTTACCCTATGAGTGAAATATTGTAACGTATCTCTTTCCAAAAGGTGCTTTGTAAGTTAAAAGGAAGAGCTGAAAAGTAGTGGTGTTAGTGAACACCTCAAAGTTGCATGTCCCTCTCAAAATGAAACAAAATCTACTCAGGAAGGCTCATTCCTGGCACTGCCAAGAAAATCACAAGGTAGTTGCTTATCTAAGGGTACACCCTGCTCAGCTGCAGTCCCTCCCATTTCACATCCTGATGGCACTTGCTCTGGGTGGCCATCTGCTGCTGTCAAGTTCATTTCAGCAGCAACACCTACCTACACAGAGTATTACGAAGGGAGAGCACCACAGGCAATACTTTTGGCCAAATGTAACCTCTAGTTATTTCAAAACTTACTGATATTACAGCAAATGATGGTTGAGGTTAGAACCCTCATAGGGTGTCATGTCCCAGGAATTCATTTGCTGCTCTCCAATTTCATATTGCTACTCATGAGTAGCAAAATACTCACCACCCACTTCCTTGGTTTAACAGCATGCTCTGCCAACTGTAGAAGAACCTAATGCATGTAAATGTATGCTCAAGTGATGTTCACAAGCAGTTGGGAGGACTGGCTATCAACAAATCTTTCAGCAATTCTAAATGAATGGGAAAAATCAGTACTGTCTCGACCATGTTAAGAGTTCAGACAATTCCACACCACCTCTCTGGGGTTGCCATAAAGTCCAGGGAAGCAAGGATTATTGCAGCTCACGAACACTGGTTTCAGCATGAACACACACCAGCTTATAAAATGGTATGCTCCAGTTACTGTGTCCACAACAGCAATTATGGCCCCTGAGGTCACTAAGACAGGTAAAAGAAATCAGAAATGGGAGCTCTAGACAACTGTGTGCTCTGAACACCAAGTGAACAAACGTTTCTGTCTACAACAGACACATCAATGCACAAACCAATGATCTGCAGCAAGAGGATTTCTAAGAAAAGGAACAGCAACTCTGTAACAGATTTGCCACTGTCACAAATTGACAGATAAATATTTGCAACTGAAACTGAAGACACTGGACTCGCCTAAATCTACTGCGCTATATGCAACCAATAGCCCAAAGAGTGAAAGAAATAGGTCCTGCAAATATACATCTTAACAGCACAAACACCCCACCCCCAAACAGATCATTTTTCATTTATCTGTCTGCTTTAGATAAACAATCTTGCACTGAACAGAGGTTTCGTGGGGAAAAATGATGTAAGTGATTAAGTGATTTGACGTCATGGAATAGGCCTACATGATCACCCAAGCATGTAGTAAGCTCAGCTGAATATCCTCTGGAGAGCCACAGAAGGGATTTCCTGCAACCAGGGACTGCATCCCAGTGCCTGCTGTAATCATTTGCCAGCTCCATTACACAAGTATCAGGGTAATAATAATAAAGTAGTGTAATGGTATAATCTATTACACCATAAAGCAGCAGTTTCTCCCTTGCTTTGTTCTTTATACAGAAAAGCAATTTAGCTAATCCTGGATTATGAGTGTGAAAGCAACAGTTCTAAATAACAATCGCAAGCTTAACATCTTGTTAACTTTGTTTTAGATTTGTGACAGGCTAGCCTATGAAAAGCCATTTCACAAAAACAGGTTGTTTTTTTAATTCACTATGTTTTCTATAAATTCTTGCCTAAAATAGGTTTACAGGCTACAGCATACAGTAATGAGATTCCCTACGTTAGCTATCACCAATATGCAGCCCTCCGGATGTCTGGACTACAACTCCCATCAACCGAATGGGAGTTGTAGTCCAAAACAACTGGTGAGTACCAGGTTGGCAAAGGTTGCCTTAACTTGGAAGAATTATGTGGAAGATTTTGGCTGGAATTTCTAGTTAGAATCCATCAAATCTCAGAAAGAAGGGCCTGCTGCACCAATGGGTGAGAGCGCCTGGTGGTCACACCTCAAAACTACAGTGTGTTTCACCACTTGCGTATACCACCAAGTGATAATGAGAACTTAGGTAAAGCCCTAATGCTATTCACAGAATTATAAGCAGAAATATTTCCAGCCCTACGCTTGATGATATTACAGTTCCATGTCCAACTATGTGTTGGTTGGGATTTGGGAAAGGGATTTGTGGAAAGTCACAATTCCCTGAAAAAGCCTAATTTCTGAAAAGGTGTCGTAGTTTTGCTGCAGTGCCAGTAATATGCAGGAAAAAGTAACTCAAAACCTTAAGCCATTTACTATTTTGCAAGTTCATCATGATTCTCATGCATAAAATTAACTGATTAGGCTTAATTACTATTGCGGTTCCATAACACCACTATGTTTCACCAACATACATGCATTAAATTTAGGTGTAAAGTATGCTACCTCACATATCAGTTTATTTTTATTAATAGGTGTTCCCTGTGCATCAAAGGTAGGTGAAAAACTCATTCAATTCTGTATGTGTTAGATAGGACTGGTTTTGAATTGTCAATCATACCGGTCCACTTGTTTTAATTAGTGTTCTTGCATTAGAATCACTCACACTATCACCTAGAACCCTTACAGAATATCAGAACCCACGGTGATGAGTTACACAGCTTTATTTGACTATAATTTAGCTGTTTTTCATAACAATTAACCATCCTGACAAAATTTGTGTTTGTTCTATTATATGCTCAATGATAAACACGTGTAAGGAAAATAATTGTTTGCAGTAAAAAATGCTCAAGAAAGTAAGTGCAAAATACTTGATAAATTTTTGAAGCTAGTTCTAGTATCTTCAGGTGAAAAACATTTAAATGCTTCTCATGCAGCTAGAATGAACCATAAAGAACTCACTTTGCCAAAGAACATGTTTAGCTATTCCACTCTACTATGAAAGAAATAGTCCAGAACACCACAAATGAGAAGCCTTACCTGTGTGAGTGCAGAGCATTCCACATATTTGACAGCCTTCAAGTCCCGTGCCAGCTTTTCAGCAGTCTCAGGAGTGATAGGCTTCTGCTTATTCTTGGCAAGTTTCTCAATTGTTGAAGGGTCATCTCTGAGATCAATTTGGGTCCCAACAAGCAAAAAGGGAGTCTTTGGACAATGGTGAGTGATTTCAGGTACCCACTGAAGAGAAGATAAAATGTGATGGTGATAATGCAAATATCAGGATATCCAACAACACAGGACACTTTTTACAAAGCCTGACAAAAACTAGTTTGGGGGTCAAAGCATACTCACCTTTTCTTTCACATTTTCAAATGAAGATGGCGAGACCACTGAGAAACAGACCAGAAACACATCTGTCTGTGGATAGCTGAGGGGCCGTAATCTGTCATAATCTTCCTGTCCTATTAAAATTAAAAAATGACATCAGAAGCCTATATTGAGGGGGAAGGCCTTATAAATGTGTCATTTTTTAAAGGTAACTATGCAGGCATACGGGGGGGGGGGGAGAATACTACCGTAGATTAATAACTTCTTACACCCCAAACAACTTATCTTCCTTGCACCTATCTATGCTCTCAAGATTATGGGCAGACAACAGAAAACTGACAATTTTCATCTAGTATATCAATTTATCAACCAGAAACCAGATCAAGCAGCCACCTTCATTATTTTATAGAATGGTGGTATAAATACCCCGAGAAATTCAGCCTGAGATTTTCAGTTCCATGTAGGAAGAATTCTTTGATACCAATACCACAGGTGCCATGAGTCTGACTTACTCTGATGTCAGGCAGATAAGCAGCAGCAATTCTCCACTTCATCCAGAGAAAAAGCAGCCTATTACTGCCATGCACATTGCAAATTGCCAAATCACTCTGTGAGAAGTAGACACTGCTCTCCACTGACCAGAATTTGGCAAGCAACAACTCCACTGGAACCATCCTTCCTCCCTGCTGATCTGCCACAGCGCTTACTCACATGCACTACACCATCTATGCATAAGTGCCCATCCCAGCCAGGCAAGAACTGGAAGCCTTAGTCACCCTCTGTGCTTAATTTCACAACCTAGAAATACTGTGAAACATCATGACAGCTGTATGAATGGCAATGTCCACCCTGCCTAAAGGCAAGAAAGGATAGAGTGCTGCCAAAGTAGCATTCCTGGATTGGAAACAGAAGTGTGCACACACAATCCTTAAGACAACATACTGCATAACATAGCCACAAAGGGTGAACTATGCTATTTCATACACCTCAGATGAACTAATACAATGAACCTTCCCCCATTCTCACAAAGTATACTACATCCTCCCTTCTACTCTTCCTGTTACAATGGCTTCTTCCTCTTTACTTCTTTCCCTTTACTGTCCTGTTCATCTTCATTCTGTTCCTTCTCTAGTCCCCCAAGAGAAGTGCCTGCCAGATTAGTTCTCAATTCTAGCTAAAACAGCCACTTTTACAAGAAGCGCAAGAGTCTCTCCACTATATTTTAAATCCTTCACACCCTCACAAAACGGTCTGAGCTCAAAGGCTGCCTAAGAAGTTACAGTTGCAGGATAACAAGAGATTGAGCTTCACCACCTGGGGGCCAACTGGAAAACACTGCTTTGACCACATAATACAGTCATATCCTGCAATTCTGTGTATACTTGATGGTTGAAAGTTTTTTCAAAAATCGAAAGCCAGTCTTGAAAAGTTAGGTAAGCATCTGTGAAATCAAGTCACCTGCTTTCCCCATGGGTTTAATTTCAAAAGAGAGCTTACCTGCTGTATCAAAGAGGCCTAAGGTATATGGCTCTCCACCGATCATCACTGTTACAGCATAGTTATCAAACACCTGGGGAATAAGAGAGAAGAGGCAGAGTGAAAACATCACCTTCCAAACATGAGCCATATGCAGGCAGGTAAACCAACAGTCAAAAGAGAAGTGTGACTTTGTGTTCATGACCTATCAGATGACTGAGTTCAATTATCACCACTAGACACAACGACATTGAAGTTGGCACACCTGCCAATAAAAAGAAACTTACAAAAACCTTATTATGTTCTTCAAAATTTGCAGTTGCCACTGTTATGAAGTACAAATCATAAAGTAAGCAACACAGTAAAACTATAGCCCACTCTTGTCTACTGAAAATCAAATGAAAAAACTGATTGTAACAAGTAGTTAAAATAAATAGCACAATTGTTTCTTTTTCTCTCTCTTTTTTAAAGCTGAACAAGCAGATTTGCTAGTTTTATTAAGACTGAAATCTTTAAAAGGTTCAAGTTATAGACAACAGTTTATGTTAACATTTACATATTAATGCAGGTAGCACATTGGTCAACTAGTGAAAAATGGGTTCAGGGCTCTGATTATGGTGTAGCAGAATACTCAAAGCTGAACATATTACCTACTACACTACATGCATGTGCGAGCAAACATCCACAGAACACAATCCTTTCCAACAGAACATCTTAACTGCAAGCTTCCCATGCTTAGCAAACCATACAATAATGCTTTGTATCATGGCCATTGTTTCTTGGTCTCACTGCTGAAGCAGTACAGCAGCAGCCTCTCTCAGATGCTAATTGAAATAAAGAATTGTAATTCCAATAATATTCGGTATGAAATAGGGTGTCTGGGCAGTCTATTCTGCAGACCCCAACTTGCAACAGAATTTCCTTTATCAAATGAGATAAGTGAGGATCTTCAGATTATGACTTTGTAGCAACTCACTTTTATGTTTTATTTAGCTATAAAGATACATGCTTGCTAAATGAAAACCAATTCAGTGGCAGAGGGAGGGAATGCCCTAAAGGGATACTATATTGATCTAAAGATAAGCCTTTAGTTGGGCAGCAGTCCACAGTAACTTATAAGGGGTCTATGCTCTTATCAAAACTAGAGGAACTTGTCTTACACCAGAAAGCCCTGGTTTGCTTTATCATGCTATTATGAGGACCAAGATGTGATAGCCTGAAGGTAAGATCAAAGGAATGCCAAAAAAAGACAGCTCAAAGCATAGCTGCTCACATCCTTAAGATTTGATATGGTGAGAACAAAATAACACAATACAAGTATTTACTGTAGAGCACAGAAGATCCATTAACTGCTAAGGTGTAGGGGTTAGAGATGTGAAGGTATGGAAGACAACTGGGGGAAAATAATCTGCCAAAGTCTTTTAAGTTTTCCAATGGAAAAATTAGAGACACAGGGGAAAACACGAGGGGGGAAAACCCTCTTCTGAACTAATGTCTTTTTCAGAATGAAGGAAATACTTTTAAGCCTTAAGATTTAAGGCAAGGTTTTAAAAGACTATTTTATCTTTACACTATCAAAATGCTTTCCAATCATCATGTAATTATTCTTTAAGGTAAGTGATAAGTAATTCCACTTTTAGCATACTGTAAACATGGAGATCTCTCAAATTCCCTGATTCTCCATCAAGTGAAAACATTGTCTATATTTACGAATACAAAGATTAAGAAAGAGTAGAAAGGCTTGTTTCAATCTGTTGAAACCTTCAGTTTCTCAAATTTATTGAAGTAAAATAAGAATTCAGAATTGAATTTCAGTGTCTTCCAGACATTGTTACTGAATAAATAAAAGCTTGTGACGCTAGTATTTATAGCAGGCATGGCCAAACTTGGCCTTCCAGATGATTTGGGACTACAACTCCCATCATCCCTAGCTAACAGGACCAGTGGTCAGGGATGATGGGAACTGTAGTCCCAAATTATCTGGAGGGCCAAGTTTGGCCTGATATATAGGTAAACATTTTTTTAAGTGGCATGTGGCTTTCATGTGGTTAATTTTGACCACAATTACTACTACACTTACTTTGTGCTGTGATTAGAAATTTATAACACTGTACTACTTAGTAATTTAACTCAACATTCAAGCTGATAATTTTTTTCTGAAACTAAAAAAGCAAAACTCAACATCCATATTTAATTATGTGTGGAGGACTCCCTGGTCCTGAATGGGGTAACTGTGCCCCTGAAGGACCAGGTGTGCAGCCTGGGAGTCATTCTGGAACTCACAGATGTCCATGGAGGCGCAGGTCAGTTCTGTATCCAGGGCAGCTGTCTACCTGCTCCATCTGGTACGCAGGCTGAGACCCTACCTGCCCACGGACTGTATCGCCAGAGTGGTGCATGCTCTAGTTATCTCCCGCTTAGACTACTGCAATGCGCTCTTCGTGGGGTACCTTTGAAGGTAATCCGCAAACTACAACTAATCCAGAATGCGGCAGCTAGACTGGTGACTGGGAACAGCTGCCGAGACCATATAACACCAGTCCTGAAAGACCTACATTGGCTCCCAGTATGTTTCCGAGCACAATTCAAAGTGTTGATGCTGACCTTTAAAGCCCTAAACGGCCTCGGCCCAGTATACCTGAAGAAGCATCTCCACCCCCATCGTTCTGCCCGGACACTGAGGTCCAGCGCCGAGGGCCTTCTGGCGGTTCCCTCACTGCAATAAGCAAAGTTACAGGGAACCAGGCAGAGGGCCTTCTTGGTAGTGGCACCAGCCCTGTGGAATGCCCTCCCATCAGATGTCAAAGAGATAAACAACTACCTGACATTTAAAAGACACCTGAAGGCAGCCCTGTTTAGGAAAGCTTTTAATGTGTGACATTTTAATGTATTTTAATCTTTGTTGGAAGCCGTCCAGAGAGGCTGTGGAAACCCAGCCAGATGGGTGGGGTACAAATAATAATTTTTTATCATCATCATCATCATCATCATCATCAATACTATGACCTTTTAAGTTGGAGTCAGTCTCTAGTTCTGCTTTTTCTGTTGCAAATAAATTGGAATCTCTCCAAAAGAGGGGTTATAGCTTATGAGTATGCTTATCCCACTGCCTCCTCTAGTGTTGCAGATTTTCTGTCCCCCCACCCCCATCAGCTTGCTAAGTAAGGTAAAGGTACCCCTGCCCGTACGGGCCAGTCTTGCCAGACTCTAGGGTTGTGCGCTCATCTCACTCTATAGGCCGGGAGCCAGCGCTGTCCGAAGACACTTCCGGGTCACGTGGCTAGCGTGACAAGCTGTATCTGGCGAGCCAGCGCAGCACACGGAACGCCGTTTACCTTCCCACTGGTAAGCGGTCCCTATTTATCTACTTGCACCCGGAGGTGCTTTCGAACTGCTAGGTTGGCAGGCGCTGGGACAGAAACGACGGGAGCGCACCCCGCCGCGGGGATTCGAACCACCGACCATGCGATCGGCAAGTCCTAGGCGCTGAGGTTTTACCCACAGCGCCACCCGCGTCCCCATCAGCTTGCTACTCCATCTCAAATGCTGGATACACCTGTAATTACAGTTTGAATAAAACTAAGGCTTCTGTCATTTAAAGAGTCATAAATGCACCTGTTACCAAACAGTATAACTTATGTACTATATACTTTTTATGGTCTTTAAAGTCTGATTAAGTACTACATACATTTCAAATTTTATTTTAAAAAATCCAGAAATTTTACACCTGTGTAGTGATCAAATAGATTGTTGACAGAGCAAACTAGAGACTTATATAATTACTTATATGAACTGAGAACCAATGGCCCCAACAAAAGAGGCTGCAAATTACCATATCTACACGCTAGGAGAAATACTGATCTCTCAAACAGAATATGGATTCAGAAACATGGTAAAACATACAAAAATACAATGCCACAGCCACATCATGTATACACAATATCGCTAAAAGCGAAAACACATAAAATACAGGAATCAACTAATGATATACACGTACCAGTATGTAATTTAACTGACAAGGTAAAGATTCCCTATTCCCCACGTTGCACAGAAAAGAAAAATATGGAAATGTTACTCTTTACTCACCGTTGGTACGTATTCAGAGGGGAATTTATTTGTTGTGTAAGAAATTAGAAGACATGTTTTACCAACAGCACCATCACCCACAACTACACACTTAATCGTCTGCATAGCTGAAGTCTGCTACTTTATCAGGTCCAAGATTAATCTAGAAAGAACAAAAGATAACAATTGCATATTTTTATAATTTTGTACAATGGGAAATATTTTTTCATCACTATTACAGCTTCTGTATTAGCACCCCAATAACTTTAGTCAAACAGGTCTATGACAGTTGAAGCAGCTAAAAAATTTAAACAAAAAATTCAGAGGCAAGAGACTTTCAGGAGGAATCTATTTTCCTTCTCAACATCTGATAAGAAACCACAATTGATTACAGAATAATTTCAAGTTGGGCTCTAGTTTTATTTCCTCATCACTTGGAAACCCAGTAAACCTTCATGGAAGCTCAAAGGGCCTACATGGTGGAGAAAACATTGCTAAAAAGTTTCTGGCACGTTATTTAAAAGGTATTCACACATTAATGCTCCCCTACTTTCAAATAAGGTTAAGAACAAGAAAGAAGCAAGTATTTATGTATGATTTATGTGCATTTTGTATGATTTTGTCTATGAAGAAATGATGTGATATATATATACATCTCAACACACTTCAATTTCTATCTAATCTGAATTTCAAAGTTAATAACAAGCTTTAAATGTCTTGCTCTTGCCAAGCTGGGGACCTCCAGCCTACATATCTGGTCCCACAGCTGGAATCTGCCTTCTAACCACAAGCCCTTTCCTTCCTGTTTTGCAAGTAGACACCCAGAAGTTAACAATGACATCCTAGCCAACCAAACACACACACTAAACAATCAATATTTTAATTTCAGAAACAATTTCTACTACATAGGAAAAATACTACCTTTCGCACCACACCTTTTGGCCTGTTTGAGATTAAAACGAACCCTTCAAAATATGGCTTGACATGGCATCTAATTCCGCCCTTTGGTGCTCTAACTCAGTTTCCAGTTATTAAAGGAAATACAAATCAGATGTAGCTCTTTTTGCTATTACAGTGGTACCTCGGGTTAAGTACTTAATTCGTTCTGGAGGTCTGTACTTAACCTGAAACTGTTCTTAACCTGAAGCACCACTTTAGCTAATGGGGCCTCCTGCTGCCGCCGCGCCGCCAGAGCACAATTTCTGTTCTCATCCTGAAGCAAAGTTCTTAACCCGAGGTACTATTTCTGGGTTAGCGGAGTCTGTAACCTGAAGCGGATGTAACCTGAAGTGTATGTAACCCGAGGTACCACTGTACTGTGGTGAGAGGTTAATGCGCTTTTCTGAAGATGAAACATTTCAGCAAGTTACATATGCATACATATGTATAGTGCCCACTTCCTTTAAAAAGCCCCATTTAGTACAGCTACCTTAGGGTTGCCATGTGTCCAGAATTTCCCAGAATACTGCAGTCGGAAGAAGTCCGGGTAGAAATCGCAAAAAAATAAGTGTCTGGGAAAATCCAGACGTATGGCAAGCCATGTTGGCAGTGTCGTTTTTTGCAATTTTCCTTAAAAATAGCTCAAATACTTTTCTGTCCAGATTTTCACTGTTTGAAATGCTAAGCTAGCTACAAAAGTACCTTGGTTTAAGAACAGCTTAGTTTATGAACAACTTGGGATTAAGAACGCTGCAAACCCAGAAGTAGGTGTTTTGGTTTGTGAACTTTGCCTTGGAATAAGAACATGTTTCACTTCCTGTTGAGTGTGTTCCATTTGTAAATTGAGTCCCCCGCTGCTATGGGAAAACACACCTTGGTTTAAGAACGCTTCGGTTTAAGAACAGACTTCTGGAACGGATTAAGTTCATAAACCAAGGTACCACTGTATTTCCTTCCTCTAGATACGTACATTGTTCTTACTTCTAACAGCATAGATACACACTGATCAATGAGGTCACAGCTCCCTCCTACTGTTGGGTGTGTTCTCCTTTGAGTCACTGTACTTTGCCTTCTTCCTTTCCTCTGTGTGCTTTACTATCTCTTTTGCAGAGACACACCAACACGGAAGTAGGACTGGAAAAGTACTGAGGAATACTGGATAAGGTGGGAGGGCATACATCTAGCTTGCCTTTAGCAGTTAAGAAGCATTATTTAGAAAGCTTTGCTAACACTTGTTAACACCCTCTCATCAAAGCATACCTCACTCAGTAGAGTCCTTATGCTGATGCTCAGCTATGGCAGCACAACTACTTAACAGGGCCTTCTGATGCACGCCCACCCACTTTGAACACAAGCCACACCTTACCGTGAGATGTAATTCTTGACTTTCCTTCCCTCACAAGTGTCACATTTTACCTAGTTCACAAAGTGTTCCTACAAAAGTCAACCAACAGGAATATTACCCATTCTTAGACTTCACCATACCAGCCACCAAAGGAAGATAGGTAGCTCTTCTAATCTTACATATACCACCCTTCGGATCAGAAGAGCAAACTAAAAGGATAATCCTGGAAGGGGTGGGGCAGGGCCACAATAATACATTTTAGCTGGCCAAATTTTGTTGACTCTGATAACAGTGTCCTATTTAGAGAGGATAACTCTGAATTAGTGAGTTTCAGTTTGCCTCTTTTCATAGAACTGTACAATTGGAAGGGACCCTAAGGATCATCTAGTCCAACCCCCTGCAATGCAGGAATATGCAGTTGTCTCATATGTGGATCGAACCCATGACCTTGGCATTATCAGCACCAAGTTTGCAATGTGACACAAGACCATTTGCTTGAAAACTACCTTTCCAGAACAAGGACTAGAACAACCACAAACATTAACTGAAAGTGATCATACCTGCAAAATTTAGATAGTTAAAGGGCTTAAAACAAGAATATGAGCTCATATAGGTAGGCTCAGTGGATTATTTTTGTGAACCAGAGATGGAATCTGAAAACCAGTAATAAATTCTTTTCTGAGTGGGGCTAGTGTTAGATCCCAGTATCAAGCCCACAATACACAGATGACAAACACTGTGCCATACTTAGAATGCTTTGATGCCCAAAGGTAGATTTTTCTCTAATCTCATTACATGTAAAAGCATGAGAAAAATTTTTTTAGAAAGTATGGAGTGAGTTTCTAGAGATTAACACTAGGTATATATTAGTTTCAACAGTTGTTTTAAACCTGAAAGCACTGGATGATACCTTTTTAAAGAAAACATAAAATACAATCCTGACTTTTTTTTAGTATTCACCCTGGTATTTGCTTTCCTAATTTTGAGGTGAAATGAAAAACATGTTCCCACACACATCATCACCCTGTTCAGATTACATATTCCAAATAGCAGAACACACACACTAGAAACAAGGAGATGAAGAGCACTGAGCAGGTGCTTTGCTTCACAGAAGCTCCTAGCAATAGAGTCAACAGACCACTGGATTATTGATCAAAAGAATTACTGGTGCCCTGAAATCTAAGAAGCTACCTGAATTCCACACAAATAATAACCAGCTGCACTCTTCCTAAACTCACTATGCCAATTTCTTCTGACACACACTGACAGAAAAAAGAGAGCATTGTTATAGCTTGGTTTAAAGCAGTTCTTCATGAACATTTCTAAGCTAAGACTACCTCATCAGTAGTTAACACTTAACAAATTTTACATTTTTAATTTTTCATCTTTAAATATATCTGAGTAGAATTTAAGCATGACAGAGGCAGGGGAAAGCAAGCCTATGTCCTAAAGGAACCACATAATAGCAAGAGTCAGTGTGGTGTAGTGTTTAGAGCAGGCATCCCCAACCTGCGGCCCTCCAGATGTTTTGGCCTACAACTCCCATGATCCCTAGCTACCAGGACCACTGGTCAGGGATGATGGGAACTGTAGTCCAAAACATCTGGAGGGCCGAAGGTTGGGGATGCCTGGTTTAGTGTGTCAAAACTAGAACCTGGGAGAGCAGGGTTCAAATCCCCACTCAGTTATAAAGCTCACTAGGTGACCTTGAGTCAGTCACTGCCTCTCAGGCAACCTACCTCAACAGATTTGTTGTGAAGAGGGGCAGAACAATTGACACAACCCTGAGCTCCTTCAGAGAAGGTGAGATATAAATGCAACAAATAAATAATAAACAGATAGCAATCAGTCTAGCAAAAAAAGGGGAGGGAAGCCCCCAAAATGAAAATTGCTATTCATTGTGTGACCCACACAGGTACATGTTAGTATTCACATGGGTCATGACTCACAAGTGTGAGAAACCCTGATTTTAAATGACAAATATAAAGTATAGTCAAGATCTTTAAAGTAGGCAAGTGTGATACTACCAGTCCAATATAACAGGTTAATTTAGGAATGTCTCATTGAGCCCTTGGATCCAGGTTCCATTAAAATAAAAGACCTCAACAACATGCTAAATAAAACTGAATGCATTGCTTTGATAAGATATGAATTAAAAATTCACATATGCATAATGGACATGACTTTTAACCTTTCCTTAAAAAACAATTGATGAATGTAACACCCATGGGCACCACAGTGTTCTCAGACACATCACTGATGCTTGCCAAGGCCCTCTGCCTATCTCAATTTTATGGTTTTTTAAAAAAATAATGAGGGTTTATTTTTAAGCTTTGGGGTTGTAATGGGGGGGGGGGTTGCCTGTCCTTCATATGCATAGTAAGAGTCTTTTTCCTTTGTCTGTGTTTTATTGGTTTGTGGGGATGTACATGCTCTGCCTGCTGAAGGCAGAGTCTGCGCACTGCCAGTTTTCTTCTCTGAAAATTGTATCCTGTGGTGCCCACCACAGTTTCTTAGATTTCCAAATGCTCCCAGGACCCAGAAAGGTTGGGAAACCTGAAAACAATTGCATGGGAAAAGTAATATCAAGTAGAACCCTTCCAATCACAATTTCGAAAGATTCACGTCAATGACACACACACACACACACACACACACACCCCATCCTCAGATAGAAACCTCAAGTTTATGCAATGGAGATAAAAAGCAATAGGAAAAGGAAACTGTTAGATTAACAAGCACTAAAAAATAAATTAAAAAAAGAACAGCTTGCTGATTGCTTTGCTAAGCAAACAAGTAAACAACAATTTTTGCAGACACAATTCAACTAAAGTGTTACAATGGTTAAAGCAGTATATAATTTGTCCCATCTTTCTAGAAACATTGTCCTCTAAAACCAATTGTATTGTAAAGAGGCGCTACTCTCTCTGTAAACTGAGATTTGCCCACATACTCCCTAGGTGGCTACTAACCCACAGTAAAGTCCTCCAAATGCCCTACAGTAATCAATGAGAATTATTCTGGGTGAACATGGCTGACATTTTTCTAACACCATCTATCATCTGTCTGCATAAATGCACAAGAAATATCTGGGTTAACTTCTCTGGACACATACATTAGGGGATTTGATTTATAGCTAACAGGCAGTACATAGCTTCAAGGTCAGATTAAGTGCATCAATTCCTAGCCAAAGACTACTACAAACAGAGAGCCACTACAGAAAGTACCATGTTACCATTTGCTTCTTTCTTATCATAAAGGAAGCTTTGTAGGGAGCTTTCTACACCAAAAAGTACTATTACATGATTCAGTCTATGCTGGATGCTAGTCAACATGTCAATATCTAATTATTAGCACATGCACAAGCACACTATGAGAAAAGACAAGTTTGCAGCCATATGCAGAGAGTTTAATTACAAAGTAAAATGGCTTTTATGGCTGTCCTTTTAGTGTCCACGCTTGGAATAAATAACTTATTCTAGTATTGCATACATCTCATGTCACGCATACAGGCTCAAACAACCTAAGGAGTTTCCATCACAAGATTTCTGTGAACATTCTTCCATTACAATATTTGTTAACAGAAAGCATGCTTCTGGTGGTCTCAATACATGGACACCCAATAACTCACTGTACTTTAACACACAGCAGTAAGACTGATAATAAGGGCTGTAGCTCAGTGGCAGAACATCTGCCTTCCATGTAGTAGGTCCAAGGTTCAATTCCTGCCATCTCCAGGGCTGGGAAAGATCCCTGCAAGAAACCCTGGCAGACCACTCACTGCCAGTTAAGTGCTGGCAGTACAAAGCGAGCTGGACCAATGGTCTGACTCGGTATAAGGCAGGTTCTTATGTTCTTATAAGCCAATGTTCTAGCCATCAAGTATTAGCCAGTGGGAAGGATTTGCAGATTTGGGGGCAGGCGAAAGAAGAGGACTGATGCTGGGAGAGTACCCTTCCTAAGGCCCACTTGTGCAGAGCTGAAATGTGAATCAGGGTTTTCTCAAATGATAGCTCTCCGCCATTCTGCAACACCAGCTGTACGTAGAACAGTGGACTGACTCAGTACAAGGCAGCTCCATATGCCAATTGTTTGCAACGTGCAATTTATTCTGTGAAAGTACTGTAATATATTCTGTTCTGTGTGGTAAATTTTAAGATTCGTTTAAAAAATGTGAACACCCAGGCACAGTGAAGTTATAGATTCAAGGGGAGCATTAAGAACCTCAATTCTGCTCTTATTATTGTCATGAAACAACAGCCTCATAAATACGTCACTGAAGTTTCTAGCCTTACTTAAACTTGCCTACTAAGTGGGCTAGTGGGCTGTGTTTCTCCTCAGCCAACATAAAAATGTAAGCTAGTGGCCCTTCTAGCAGGCTATAAAATTAAAAATGCCTGCTTAGTTTCCAGGCTTTCCACAAACAAGGAGGCTTCCCCTTCTTTGTGGCCAACATGAAAATGAAAGAGACTGGCAGGGGGAGTCCGTCCTCTCCCACTTATTCCCCACTTACTCATCCAGATGCATGGGATCCCTTTCTATCTAAAGCAGCGATTCTCAACCTGTGGGTCCCCAGATGTTGTTGGACTACAACTCCCATAATCCCTGACCACTGGGCAAGCTGGCTAGGAATGATGGGAGTTGTAGTCCAATAACATCTGGCAACCCACAGGTTGAGAAACACTGGTCTAAAGTCAGAGGATCTTCTTAACACAAGGCAGTGATATAGCACCACTAAAGATCAGCAATCTGTCTCCTTGATCTTTCATAAACATCTATATACATGGATAGCAATGTATATCTGACTGCGAGGCTAAGACAGAAAGGGTGGCTTGTCTATGTGTAACCTAGCAAATTCCAGTCTCCTAGCCACTGAATTACTGGTATTTTAATTCACATACTGCAGAAGGCAGGACAGAGAATACCAATAAAAATGTTCAAGGTACTCAATATACATTCACTTACATCAACCCTGACAACAGTCTTATAAAACAGGATAGAAGTATTAGCATCCTCTTCCAAATATCACAGATGGGGAAAGTCTTAGGCTGGAGCAGCTTCATCTAAGGCCCATCAACCCTGGTCATTGCCCATACTTGCTAAAGGTTCCTCCCCATGCCTTATCTAAGCCCACCTATGGAGTTTCTAGCATCAGAGGACAAGGGAGAGGAGAGAAATACTTCCTGAATAGTAGCTAAACCTCTCTACTGATTCACCAGCTTTGGAGTGGGGGTAGGGTGGGTAGGGAATGATTATGGTTTTCATACTGCAGAGAAGGGAAATATATTACACCAGTTTGGGGTTCAGACTACATTTGCTGCATGTAGCTCACAATGAAATCGACTGAACTTGAGGCAAATCATGACTACCTTGTCCCATGGATTTCAATGCAACTACCTGTACTCAAAACTGCATGCAATCCATAGCATTTAGAACTCACAGCACTTCACACATAAACTGTCTGCAATCCTAATTAAGAGATCAGCATTATTATCATCCCCTATTTTAGCTAAGCCTGAATACAAAATAACTATACAGTATGTTTTCCCTCCATCCTCCATTTTCCTCTCCCTGTTGTCTCCCTCCTTTCCGTTTCCTAGATTCTCAGTGACAACAACCTGTCTACAAAACTCCATTTCCCTCTTCAACGTATCTCCTTCTGTACTGCAATACAGGGACCTGCCCTGTCACCCTTTGCAAGCCCCTCAAAAGAAGAGACCTCTTCCACAGGGACCCCCTTCACTGACATCTCTCTCTTGCCAGTGTCCTACATTACAGACCTGTCAAGAGACAGGGGCCTACCATCCTATCCTCTGTAATCCCTTCTGGGGCAGAGACCTCTTCTCTCACTCTCTGTAACCCCCCTGAGGGCAAGGGAGAGAGGCAGGGGCATGCCAACAGAGATCCCCTTTCCTCCTCCAGCCTCTCTGCTCCACTGGAAGCCCACTGGAAGAAGGGGTCTACGTCCTCTCCTCCCAAGTCCCTCCCAGGGGTAAGGAACCTGTCCTCCCATCTGCTCCGCAAGCCCCTCACAAGATTGGGAGGGCAGGGTCATATTCAATGGAATCCCCCTTTTCTCTCCCCCTCCTCCTGCCTCTTTCTTGCCAGTTTCCTGCATTAAGAGGGCCTGTCATGGGGGAGGGTGCTGCTCCCAGCGGGGAGGCAAAGGGACATCCCCACCACCTCAAGAAAGATCCTCCCACCCTGCCCTGTATTCTGGTGGGCCAGAGACCAAGTCTCTTCTGCCTTTTTCAGGCCCAGGACACACTTTTCACCCAAACATGCATTTTGGGACCGATTTCTTTTCACTATACAGACACACATACATATATTTGAGGCAGCAGGGGCTCCTGTGGCAGCCCCCCTTAGATCCGGCCACGAATGGTCTCCAGGTGCTGGGTCGGGGGCCTAATCCAACAGGAGCACCGCCCGCCACTCAAACATATATATGGCAAAATGTTTTTATATATTAGAAATGCACGTTTTAACCCAAACGTGCATTTGGGGGAGACATTCTTTCTTTCAAGCGGATCTGAAGCAGACTGAAAAGCCTACACCATATAGGCCTGGATGGGGGGGGGAGAGAGAGACCTGTCCCCGGGAGGCCCCCTCCCTATTCTCCCTCTTCCCCTTCCTCTGCATTGGCGAGGGCCCCGTCCACGCCCAGCTTGGGGCGGGGGGGGAGATTGCGGCGGGGATATACACGGAGGAATGTGGGGGAGGGGGGAACCGAGACAGGAAGAAAGGGGGGGAGACCGAGCGGGGAGGCCAGCCGGTAGATAAGGGAAGCCGGCGGAAAGGCGGCCCGGTGTCCGCCCTCAGGATGGTGCTGGTGGGGAGAAGAGGAACTGTCTTCTCATAAACGAGGCGCGCGGATAAAGAGCCTAACGGACGCCCCCCCCCATCCTCCGCCAGTAGCCCCCCTCCCCCTCTTTCTTCCTCCTCCTCCTCACGGAGCTTCCGGTCGCCCCTCCCCCACCTCGCTCGGGAAACCGTTTCCCCTCCCCCCGTCAATCAAGCGGAAAAGGATAAAAAAAAAAAACCAGGGCGACAGCGGTGGCGTCTCCCCCCATCGCGCCGCCTCCGCCCCACCGCCAAGAAGAAAACGTCGTCCCCCCCTCCACCCGCAACCCCTCTCCGTACACACCCGGGCCCGTCCGCCTTCGCCTCGGCGGCACCAGCGCCTTACCTCACGCAGGGCGCTCTCGCTCTCCTCCGCCGGGCGTTGGCAGCTCGCTGCGGGGTCTCCTCGCCTGGGCAGCAAGGGCGGGAGGGGGAGGAGGGCCGGGGCGTGCGCGCTGACGTCACCGCGCTCCGCAGGAGGCGGGGCTCCGGGAACGGAACAGAGGCGTCGTCGTTTCGGGTGGGAGGGGGAGCGGAGGAGCGGAGCCTATTTCTATTTATTTATGGCGTTGATAGGGCATTCCTTTTCCTCCAAGGGGGTGTACGCGGTTCTCTCCCCAATTAAATACCCCCACACACAACAACCACCCTGTGAGGTCGGCTAGGACTGACTCCAAGGTCACACCCGGTGAGAGCCTTCATGGCTGAAGGGGTGGGATTCGAACTCGGCTCTTCTCTCCCAGGTCCCAGTCCTGGGAACTGCAACCAACGAATCCATCTTTATTACCGTCAAATACCAGACTGTTCCCAGGAACTGTCGTTTAGCCTGCCTGTCTAAATCTGCAGCAAGCAGACTCCTGGCTATGATTAATTTTGGCCTTGGACATAGGAAGTAGGCAGATCTAGACAGCTTGACCATGACTCTCAGGATTTAGCCTCCTCAGCATCTCTGGCATAAGAAGTCTGAGCGAATGGCATTTATTATTACAAAATGAAATATTATTACTATATTTATTCATACCCTGCCTTTTTCCCTGTTATGGACTAAAGGTTGTTTTGGATAAAGTTAAGAAGAGCTAGAAATATAGCAGGGGAAATCATTAAAAATAAACATTGATAGAATTAAAGCTCTCCATATATTATCTATTAAAAACATAGAGATTATTAAGAACAGCACCAGCATGGTAAGAGTAAATTGGGCAGGTTAATTTCTGCCTGGCTTGGCAGGGGATGCTTCCCAGTAGATCAGCTTCCCCAGTCCTCCATTCTGTAGAACCAAGTACCACCAGGATCTGTCCATTTACCCACCAGGTGCCCTTCTCTTACCCCCTCCTGGTCCCCATGCCAAGTGGTATTATTGCCCTATTTCACCCTATTCCTTGGGCAACACTCTTTACAGTAAGCATCTCCTTAACTGGATATAACTTTAGTGGCCACTAAACAACTTTTGAGCATGTTTGCTGATATTACTACTATGTTTTACACTTAGGCCTCCCAATACTTAAGATATGGATTGATTAAAGGGGTTTTTTAATTTTAAAAAAATCAATTATGGAATAAATTAAGTTACATTAATCCTGCTTTGTCTCCCAAGTACTGGAGGTTGTCCTGGTCGAGGCTCTTATATCTCGTGGCGCTGTCCCCATGGTGCCCTTTTCTTCCTTCCTCAAACGTCAGTGGAACAGCCAATAGTTTGCTTCCTTATGCTGCATTATCATTGTTTTCAAATCTCAGTTGATCAATATGTGTCCACTTTTATTGATAACATTTAAAAAATTTAACTCTTTGCAATGCTCTTTTTATGACTGCATTCACTGGTATGGAGTCCTATCACCTCTTTTTTAAAATTTTGCTGCCCTTGGCAGCCATTTTTTGCAGCCACCCACGGCAATTTTATCAAGATATGAGTGCCAACATCTCTCTTTCTAATTCATTAAGAAACAGCACTGGGTCTATGAGACTTAGTTCCCAGCATACAAGCTTTAGAACTGCTGCCGCTATGATTCGCTCTCCAGTACCTTAAGACAGGAGTGGGGAATCATTTTCAGTTTGAGGGAGGCAGTAGGCCAGTGGCGCGCAGAGCAGGAGGGGTAAATTATTATTATTAGCCAAATTACAGGGAACCAGGCAGAGGGCCTTCTCGGTAGTGGCACCCGCCCTGTGGAATGCCCTCCCACTAGATGTCAAAAAGAAAAATAACTACCAAACTTTTAGAAGACATCTGAAGGGAGCCCTGTTTAGGGAAGCTTTTAAAATTTAATAGGTTATTGTATTTTAGTGTTTTGTTGGAAGCCGCCCAGAGTGGCTGGGGAAACCCAGCCAGATGGGCGGGGTATAAATAATAAATTATTATAATTATTATTATTATTATTATTAGAGTTTCTGCGTTCCATCCACAAAAGGTTTCTGCATGCACTTACAAACACACACACATACGCATCTGTCTTTCAATACGGGCAAGCACACTTTAAGGACACATACCAGCTTGGCAAAGAAGTTGTGAAGCAGGGATGGGGCCTTGGGAGTCCTGAAAAGGCCACATTTGGCCCCCAGGCCTGAGGCTCTCTACCCTGCTGTAATATTTGCAATGGTAAAACATCATGCGCATTGGGAGTCAAGCCTCCTATCCACAGGACACTTTTATGACCAAGGTGTGTGATAGAAAAGAAACCCAAGTCAGTCGCTCAGCTTCGGGGCAGCTCTGCCTGGCAAGTACCAGCACTCTTCCGGAGAGAGAGTTGCATATCCTTTGTAGGCAACTTGCAGGGAGGAGTCAAAAACCCACTTCCTAATCATGTGCTGGAGTCGGTGTTTTTTTGCAAGCATTTGTTTTTAATTGAGGAAAAAACGCCAGGCATCATCACAGTTTGAACTTCTTAGTTCAAAAAGAACAACATAATTGTGTTCTCTCTTTGAGCAACAGCCAAATGTTCTGTAGGAGGAATCATTCGCTACAGCAGCCTTATGTATAGAGCTAACAGCCTTGCCAATGGCCCAGCTAGTCCAGCGTCCTGTCCCCACAGTTACCACCCAGATTCTAGAATCAAGAATAGGTGCACTCTCCTCTCCTGCGGTTTCCAGCAACTAGTATTGCTGCTTCCAACTGCGGCAGCAGAGCATAGCAATCATAGGTAGTTGCGACCAATAGCCTTCTCCCTGCATGAATTTGTCCAATCCTCTTTTAAAGCCATCCAAGTTGTGACCATCGCTGCCTCCCATGGGAATGAATTCCCCTGTTTTAACCCTGCGCTGCAAGATTGCCCTCCAGTTCAGATCATCGCCTCTAAAGTCAGACCCTGACAAAGTCCAAGCTAGAAACAACTGACTAGGAATAAGACCGTGGAGTCATAGAGTTGTAGTCAATGCTAGTCCTAGTCAGAGCAGACCCACGGAAGAAGATGAACATAGCTCTGAATAGGATTTAGTTGGATACAACCCAAGAGTTCTCTTGATAATACTGGCATATTATTTTCAATAGATTTACTATTAATTTCATCAGATCTGTTCAGAGGATAGCTTATTTGGATGCACCGTAAATAAATTAAGGAGTCAGAACCTCTTGATCTATTGCAGATCTCCCAGCAGATCCTGAACTGTCTTCTGTCCATCCCTGATATGGCAGGATAATTCTTGTGTGGTTTTTTGGTTTTGTTTTAATTAGTCATGATGATATTGGGGTGGAGCCTCCTTGTTCAGCAGTAAGATTGACCTGGTATGCAGCTACAGCTTTAACCTGGGGCCCTGCAGATATATTGGACTACAACTTCCATCAGCACCAGAAAGTAGAACTGGCTGATGGGAGTTGTAGTCCAAAAAAACAATAACTACACTGGAACTGATGGGAGTTGTGGTCCAAGGTCTGTGGAAGGCACCGAGTTGGGAGGAGGAGTTGGTCTAGGCCCACCATTACATAGTAAGGCCTCGGAAGTTGGGCTCGCTGCAGGGGGGTAGCGCCGCTTGCTGGTTTAGCAGCTTCTCGAGAACGTTGAGCTCAGCGTCACGCTTCTCGATGTCATCCGAAGGAGTCCAGGACATGTCGTGCTGCAGTTTGTAGGCACCAAGGAACTCGCTTGGGCAGCTGGCCCCCCATTCCTATGAAAGTGGGGGGGGGGAGAGAGAGAAGAAAAGAAACACTTATCAAGTCCCCAGAATGCCAGCAGAAAGTGTCTACACCATGCTACACCAAATCACTCAAAATCGGCATGCACAACAAATGCTCTCTACTGCTAGGCCAGTGTCCTTCAGGCTTGGGTCCTTAGCTTCTTGTTGGACCACAGCTCCCATCACCCCTGAACACTGGCTGAGCTGGCTGGGGATGGTTGGGAACTGGGAGCCCACAAACATCTGGGGTGCAAGCCTGAAGAACCCTGCACTATGCTATGACAAGCATGTTGGCCGACCCCTAAAGCAGCCTTCTCTAAGTACACTGGTCCCAGCATATCCTACTCTGAATGATAGCAGTTCTCCAGGGTCTAAGGTCTCCAGCTGGGATTGGGAACCTGAGTTCCTGCAGACATTGCTGGACTTCCAAATCCCACCAGCCCTAAGCCCTCATGCCCAGCGGTCAGGGATGATGGAAGCAAAAGTACAGTAAAATCTAGAGGGCTACAGGCCATGATCTCCAGAGCCTCAGGCAAGAAGTCTTTCTCCATGACCTGGAGAAGCCAGGGGCTGGAATTGGAATGTTCTGTAAGCAGAGAGATCTGCGTTGCCACAAGGTGATGCTAAGCATTTTGCTAGTACAATACAAGCAAGATACTTTTTTTCTTATTCCGACACAATCCTTAGGAACGTAAAGAGAGTCAGGGTAGTGGCCCATCTAATCCAGCACCCTATTCTCACAGTGGCCAAGCAAATGTCTCTTATCAAGCACACAAGTGGGAGCTGGGTGCAATTGCAACCCTCCCCTTATGCAGTTTTCAGCAAATGGAACTCAGAAGCATACTGTCTCCGACAGTGGAAGTAAAGCATAGTCATCAGAGTTAGTAACTACTGCCCTCCATGAATTTGTCTAACCCATGTTTAAAGCAGATGGCCATTGCTGCCTCCTGTGGAAATGAGTTCCACAGATTAGCTATATTGTGAATAAGTACTTTCTTTTATCTGTCTTCCAACATTCAGCTTCACTGGATTTTCATCAGTTCTAGTCTTATGGGTGTGGGGGGGAAGCTTTCCTCTGTTCATTTTCTCCACATCAGGCATTATTTTTACAAGCCTCTTACTTGCCTTTTCTCTAAACTCAAAACCCTTTTAAAAGAAGGGCTCAGTACCTTAGGTGAAAGCATGGAGAAGTAGCGCTGGCCACTCTCCCGCCTGTACAGGTAGTAGACATTGCCCGGCTTTTTCACAAAGTTGCAGGCAACGTGGTGCAGATCAGCATCTCTGTTCGCCTCTTCCAAAACCTAAAACACCAGAGAGAGAGAGAGCACGTGCATCAACACCCCAAAAGTGTCTTGGATACAAACAGTTGGCTAGAATGTGGTGCTGATAACGCCGAGGTTACAGGTTCGATCCCCATATGAGACACCTGCATATTCCTGCATTGCAGGGTGGTCTTCAAAGTCCCTTCCAACTCTACAATTCTTTGATTCTATGAAATATTGCTCTTCCTCTCAAGTTTGCTGCTTTCCTCCCAAGTCACATCACTGCAACCTTCAGCTCTGAACTCTGGCTTTGTCCTTCTAACTAGCCTGTGCTGGGGAAGGGGGCCCACCCATCTGCCATCTCACACAGAGTTCTTTTCCTTTGTTCCCCCTTAATGGCCAGGCAATCACTTCAGGGGACTTCTTTTGCCTACAGAGATCTTGTGGACCTCTTTGCATTTGGCTTTGAAGGCGCCAGCAAAGCAGCCAATTGGCTAGTGTGCTGTAGTGGTTAGAGATGGGGTTGCTGTGAGGATAAAACAGGGAAGTAGAGAAAAAAACCTCTCTAGGGTGCGTTATTTTAGAACTGTGCAAGCCTTTGACAATGGAGTTCTTCCCCTCCCCACACTTACCTTTCTGGCTTGTTCCTGCAAGTACCGGATTTGTTCTGCTATGACGGTCAGTCTGTTGCAGGCATTTGCTCGGGTGAAATCATCGGCCTGTAGAAAAGAACGGAAACAGGAATATTTTTTAAAGGAGATTGGAAGTCTGGGTCTCCATATAAGCAACAAAAGTTCAAGGGTGGTGTTTGTACAGCACTTTGAGACATTTGCGCGGAAGGGCATTTATAAATGAACAATAATAATGCATTTTAAATCAGTGAAGACCCATTGAAATTAATGGAAATAAGTTAAGTCATGGCCATTAATTTCAAGGTGTGTACTCAGGGGTGTAACCAACATTAGGGTGCGCAAACATTTTGACATATGTGAGTAGCAATAATGACCCTATTTATTTATTTATTATTGTGTTTATATCCTGTGTTTTGTTCTCTACAGAGCTGAAGGCAGAGTACATGGTTCTCCCCCTCCTAGTTTAATCCCCACAACAACCTTGTGAGGTAGGTTAGGCTGAGAGGCAATGGCTGCCCTAAGGTCACCCTGTGAGAGCTTTGTGGCCTAATGGCGATGTGAAGTATACCTGTATACGTTCAGTATACCTGAAGGAGCGTCTCCACCTCCATCGTTCTGCCGGACACTGAGGTCCAGCGCAGAGGGCCTTCTGGCGGTTGACTCGCTGTGAGAAGCCAAGTTACAGGGAACCAGGCACAGGGCCTTCTTGGTAGTGGCACCTGCCCTGTGGAACGCCCTCCCACCAGATGTCAAAGAGAAAAACAACTACCAAACTTTTAGAAGACATCTGAAGGCAGCCCTGTTTAGGGAAGCTTTTAATGTTTAATAGGTTATTGTATTTTAGTGTTTTGTTGGAAGCCGCCCAGAGTGGCTGGGGAAACCCAGCAAGATGGGCGGGGTATAATAATTGATGATGATGATGATGAACCCCGGTGTCCTAGGTCCAAGTCCAGCATTCTAAACATTCTAAACTCTACACGGAACCGGCAAATGCAGTTTGGGGGACACGCTGACATGCTCACCCTAGCTGTCATCCAGAGGCCACCATTGCCAAGGCCCACGGAACAACCACCGAACATTCAACCAGGCATTAATAAACAAAAAAACCCACTCTGCACCTGCCCGGAGGCTCATCAAACACAGGCGCTCTGCACGCTCTCAGAGGCACCCTCCTCGCTCACCTTCTGCACCTGCTCTGCTAGAGCCACCAAGTCCGAAGGCCGAGCCTTCCGCGCAGACGGAGCCAGCTGGAAGTTGGACTCCACCAGCGCCGCCCCCTGAGACAAGGCGGCCGGAGACTCAGCAGCGGCACCGGCTTCGGACTCCGCTTCCGCCCTGGCCGCCATTCCTCGTGGCACAAGCCCCTCCCCCTTCGACCTCCCATTGGCCTCCGATCGCCTTACGTCAGAAAGAAGGCAGGGCACCCAGGGGACAGAACGGAGTAGGCGGAGCCAGCCTTTCCGCCAATAAGGAGGCCACGAACCGGGGAACGGGGTGGATGGACGAGTCGCGGAGGGGCGGAGCCTCAGGAAATTTGAGGCGCGGTTCCCTTTTGTAGGCGTGGCCACTCAGAGCCCCTCTTGAGAAAGAAGGCAGGAAATGGGCGGAGCTTCTGGGAGCGGTGCATAGACTTGCTAAAATTTTAGACCACCACTAGGCTTCTGAAGTGGTATTACGGGTATCAGCCGAACTTTCCCCCACTCTTTTCCCCCAAGGGAAAATCCAAAGTTTTAAGGTTAGCTGTGACTTAACAAAGTCAGGGAGGAAAGTGCCAAGCGAGAGAAAGTCCCTCCTTTTTTTGATCCTGGTCTTGTTTCGCTTGTGACATTTAAGAAGCGCAATCGGAAAGAAATCTCACTGCCTTCGGTGTAGCTGTGCAGCCCTACCCGTGCCTACTCAGAAGCAGGCTATTGAATTCAAGGGGATTTACTCCCATGTAAGTGGACCTGCACCTGCCAAGAACATTTTTGTTTAGTCAAGTTTAGTCAACAGAACACGGACGTGTGTTTTGATTTTTAGCTTTTGATGGTTGAATCTTGAATGTTTTTAAACAGCTGCTTCTGATAGTTTCTTTTTTATTTCTTGAGTCTTTTTTTTATAATTCACTTCGAGGTTTATATTTACAATGAACAAATAAAAATAACTAAATAAGAATTGCAGGAGAGTAGAACACATGCGCGCACACACACAATTTAAACCGAGCATTAAAAATAAAGAGTACCCATAAAAAAAATCGGCGTGGTTATGCACAAAACTGGGAGTACGCTCAACCTTAGACGTCTCTGCAGGGAGGGCGGAGTGTCTGGGAGAAGATATGCCGGAGGCGGGGCCTCCGAGAGAGGGCGGGGCTATTTGCTACCGAGGGCGGGGCCTCTTCCCCGTCGGGGTGGGCGTAGCTAGCCTCCCTGCGCGCCCCTTCGCAGCCGGCGAGCCACGATGGCGCCCCGGGTTCTGCTTGCGCGGCCCCTCTTTGGGCTCCTGGTGCTGGCGGCGCAGCTCTTCGTCCCTGCCGTCGGGGCCGAGACGGACCTTTCCTCGCTTCCCGCGGACATGCTGCTGGCGGCGGGCACGGAGGCTTACGCCCGCGGGGACTGGAGCGCCGTCATCCTGCATATGGAGAGGGCGCTGCGGGCGCGGGAGGCGCACCGGGCGCGCCTGATCCAGTGCCGCTTGCGCTGCGCCGCCAATAGCACTGACGGGTTACCGGCGAAGGACGAACAGCAGCACCCGGCGCCTCCCGCCGTCGGAGAGCGGCGCCCGCTTGACGACCTCCGCTTCTTCGGGCAGCTCCTCCGCCGCGCCGGCTGCCTCCGCAAGTGCCTCCCCGACGGCGCCTCCCGCTACCAGCTCGGCGAGGAGACGGAGCTGGAGTTCCGCAAGCGCAGTCCGTACAACTATCTCCAAGTGGCTTATTTCAAGGTAGCCTCTTCACTTGGATCGGGGACTGGTGGCGATAGGATTGGGGGGGGGGAATCTTTGCAAATGGATCGGGACCTTCTCAGGGAGGAAAGGAGTCACGGGAGCCCCTCTGGGGGATCGATCCAGCTTGGTTTGGATTCCTCCCAATCCAATCTGCGTATTTACCCGGGAAGTAGGCCCCGTCGAGTTCAGTTGGATTCAGTTTTAGCAAAAGTTAGAGGGGGGTTGGAAGAGATGGTTTGATGCTGCTGGTTGGAGCCCTAACTGATTTTAATGTTCCTTTAAGAAGGTGAGAAGAGCTCAAATCTAGTCTAGCATCCTGTTCTCACAGTGGGCAAACAGATGCCTACTGGGACAGCTTTGTCATCAGATCAGGAGGCTCTTAATCTCAGGGTCGTGGGTTCGAGCCCCACATTGGACAAAAGATTCCTGCGTTACAGGAGGGTGGTCTAGATGACCATCGGGGTCCCTTCCAACTCTTAAAGGTAAAGGGACCCCTGACCATTAGGTCCAGTCGTGGCCGACTCTGGGGTTGCGGCGTTCATCTCGCTTTATTGGCTGAGGGAGCCGGCGTATAGCTTCCGGGTCATGTGGCCAGCTCTGGCAAACCAGAGCAGCCCACGGAAACTGCGTCTACCTTCCCGCCGAAGCGGTACCTATTTATCTACTTCCACTTTGATGTGCTTTCAAACTGCTAGGTTGGCAGGAGCAGGGACCGAGCAACGGGAGCTCACCCCGTTGCGGGGATTCGAACCACCGACCTTCTGATCGGCAAGTCCTAGGCTCTGTGGTTTAACCCACAGCGCCACCCACACCCCACTTCCAACTCTTACAATTCTGCAATTCCATACAACTTTTACAATTCTACAATTCCATACCATGGAAACTGGCAAGCAGGCCGTGAGTCATCCGTGTCCACTCTCCCCTCCTGTAGTTAGGGGGGCTAATCCTGTGGCTAATCCTCTTTTAAAGCAGTCCAAGTTGATGGCCATCACTGCCTCTGAATTCTCCAGGGCTGGCCAATTCCCAAGAGACTGCGATCTACTCACAGTTAAAGACTAGCAGTGATCTACCCCCTTTTTGTGGGTTCAGGTCAAAGTTGTTAAGCTTTTTTGAAGGAGGAGGCGCAAGGCAAAAAGGCTGAGCTTTTTTAGGGGAGCAAGACTTCTTTGGGGGAGCCAGTGATCTACTGGTGATCTACCACAGAGGTCCACTGATCTACTGGTAGATCACGATCTGCCTGTTGGATGTACCTACGAGTTCATGCACTGTCTGAAGAAGTACTTTCTTTTGTTGATCCCTGATCTTCCAACATTCACTTTGATTTTAATATTCATGTCCAAAATTGTGCTGTCTCCACACCACTGCCACTTTAAGCCTCACTGAACTTGGTGGTGCTTACCTCTGAGTAGGCATGCAGGGCGATAAATTATTTTCCTTCTTGAACAGTAAGCTGTGTGGCCTTTCAGGACACAACCTAAAGTCAATACAAATGCCACGAGCATTTGTGGTGGCTAAAGCAAAGCCTCCCCAGTTCAGAGCAGTATACCTTCTCCTATGGTGGGACTTAAATAGCGATGGCAGTCTCCCTCACCATGCTTGTGGCCTTCCATGCAGTATTTCTGGAGACAGATTACTGGGCAACATGGACTTTTAATCTGATTCGGCAAGGTATCTCCTTTGAAGAGGAGCCCTCAAAGTTGGGATAATTTAGGAGAGACTGAATTGAGAAACAAGGGAAACAAAGAGAATAGGGGGGGGGAAAGCTTGAGAGAAAGGGCTTGTGCCTATGGGCCTCACTGCCACTTGGTTGGCTTTTGAAAGATAAAGGTCAGTGGCCACTAGTCAAAATGCCTAAGTTGAACCTCCAGGTTCAGAGGCAGTTTGGTACAAAACACATTTTTTTCATGCCCTGCTGGTGGGCTTCCCAGAGGTTCCCCTCTCCCCCCACTGTGGAGAAACAGGATGCTGAAGTTTGGTCTGGTCCAGCAGAGCTGATCCATGCCATGACCTAAAAGAGACAGCTGTTAGTGGCTAGGGCAGGAGGTCAAGTACGGCCCTCCAGGCCCATTTATCTGGCCCTTGGAAACCTCCCCAGGCCTTTTGATGACTCTGCTTTGCACTCCAGATACTTCCCCATCACTAGCACATGACCCTCAGAAGATTTCCCAGAAGGGAATGCTGTCCCCTGGCTAAAGAAGAGTCCCCGTCCCTCCACTAGGCAGTCCTGGCAGTAGGGAAAATACTTCCCTGCCATCTGACATCATGTAGGTTGAGGTCGAAGGAACATTAATAGGTTTGATGGAAAGAACCAGAGAAACCAGGCTACAGGTACAGAGACTGGAGGAAGGAGAGAGGAAGAAAACAGAAACTGCAAAGCGGCTAAGAGACAGAGCTGAAAATCTGCATACTCTTTTGCATCTCCACCTGCAAAATTGGATATAGTGATAGTGGTTTATCTTGCAAGCTCATAAGGATTACAGCTAGATAAATGCATGTGAAATATGCCGAGCGCTTAAAAGTGCCATACAAGGTTGAACATATTATTAATCGCATCTGTAGCTGTGGGTGAAAATAATCACACTGGGAGCAAGCAAAAAACAGCACCATCTGCATCTCAAAACGCATCCATTATCGGAGAAATCGTTTTGCCATTGCTGGCAAGCAAGGAGAGCGCTGTTGCCCTCCGGTCTAGCATGTAGGCTTCCCATTGAGACTTCTAGTTGGTCAATGTGGCAGGAGGATGCTGGACCAGGTGGGCCACTAGTCTTGGTCCAGCATGCATCAGATCTGTCTCACATTCATGCTTAGGACTGGACCTGCCACTGCATTTCAGCCCCAATCCTGCTGCCGCTGCCCCCTATGGGCTTTCTCTTTTGCCTCATGCACCAGTGGCTGGGTCAGCTGCAATGCCATTGACCAATGCCTGGACTTTGCCCGAGTCCTGGAAGTATCTCCCCTTTGTTGGAAGTCTGGGAAAAGTTGGACAACCGAATCTGCCACTGGAAATCTGAGGTCGTTCCAGATTTCCAGTGGCACAATTGGAAAACGAAGGAATACTGTCTTTATATAGGAAGCAGCCTTGTAGAAAGCCCTGGGTCTCGATTGCAATATCTGAAGAGAACAAAGCAGAGATGGAGGAGCTGATGAGTTTGAGCTGCCTGGATTCAGGGAACATTATTGCAGAAAGGGTTTTGCCTTTAATCACTTTTCCAGTTCTGAAGAGTTGACCCGGCCTGTCTCTCTCCATCCATTTGTCTGCCACATGTTCACTCCAGCCACTTAGAAAGCGTTTTTCCTGCTCCTTCCCCTGCGGCCAGAAGTTCAGCCCTTCCTCCCTCTCATCTCTCTCTCCTCCCTACTTCCTTAGGAGGGGCGATGTGCCACGTCCATAGAGGGGCTGCGCAGGAAGACGCAAAAGAGGGGGGCCCTCCCCCGTGGTCTCAGGTTTCAGAGCCAATTCAACAACTGGAGTTGAGAAAGCAAATATGGAAAGAGCCAGGCTCTCTTTCTCCCCCACCAAAACCCCGTTGGCTTCTCTGTGGCTGATTCCTAAGCTCTCCCCATTCTTAAAAGGCGAAAACCTGCAGTTTAATCCTCCTACTATTCCTGTCTATCGGATAGGGTGATTTATGTGCTGCGGTTGGCTGCCCTGCCTTCACAGTGAACTGCTTGTGGGGTGTTTGCATGTCTCAGGTTAGTTTTGGGGGGCCCTCTCTAGAAATCCTTTTCATTGTGCGTTCGTGCAAAGCTGTGCTCATGATGGTATCAGGATGGTTAGACGCCTTGCACAGACACACGCCTTCTTTTCCGATCCGATTGATGCGTGTTCCAAAACTTCCTGCTGGAATCTTTTTGCAAATGTTCAGGTTCTTTTTTTCTTCTTTTTTTTTACTTTCGATCATGCTTTATTGTTTTTAGAAAACACAATCCATTAAAACAGCAACAAATCACTACGCAGGCATTAATAACAGCAGCAATCAGGTTTTTCCTCCAAAAGCCCTTTAATATATATATGTATGTATATCTTTTAAAAATTAAAATACAGTGGTAAAAAGTAAAGGTAAAGGTACCCCTGCCCGTACGGGCCAGTCTTGACAGACTCTAGGGTTGTGCGCCCATCTCACTCAAGAGGCCGGGGGCCAGCGCTGTCCGAAGACACTTCCGGGTCACGTGGCCAGCGTGACATCGCTGCTCTGGCAAGCCAGAGCTGCACACGGAAACGCCGTTTACCTTCCCGCTAGTAAGCGGTCCCTATTTATCTACTTGCACCCGGGGGTGCTTTCGAACTGCTAGGTTGGCAGGCGCTGGGACCGAGCAGCGGGAGCGCACCCCGCCGCGGGGATTCGAACCGCCGACCTTTCGATCGGCAAGCCCTAGGCGCTGAGGCTTTTACCCACAGCGCCACCCGCGTCCCTAAAATACAGTGGTACATCGGGTTAAGTACTTAATTCGTTCTGGAGGTCCGTACTTAACCTGAAACTGTTCTTAACCTGAAGCACCACTTTAGCTAATGGGGCCTCCTGCTGCTGCCGTGCCGCCGGAGCCCGATTTCTGTTCTTATCCTGAAGCAAAGTTCTTAACCTGAAGCACTATTTCTGGCTTAGTGGAGTGTGTAACCTGAAGCGTATGTAACCTGAAGCATATGTAACCTGAGGTACCACTGTATATCAATCATTTTCCAAATAATAAAACCAATTAAAAACCCATAGGGGAGGTCCTTTAAGAGGGACCTGGCCGGCTTCTTTAAGATGACTTCTAAAGTACAAACGTTGGAAGTATTTCATTGTCTATATCTGTCAGCAAACTTGAATGGAGTGGCCATAAGAAATCTCATTCATTTTTTTCTGCTTTCATGTGCTGTAGCTCCAGAATTGCCCCTCCAGATGGCAATAATGGGCTAATCCTGGAGAAGCATCACAGAACCGTAAATAAAGTAGAATGATGTGTGTGGACTGTTGCAGAATTCATACAAGCAATTTGGAGGGGGCTTTGAATGGTGGTAGAAGGGGGTGAGGGAGGGGCAGCCTTTTCTGCCTGGGGCAGCAAAATGTCTTTGGCTGGCCCTGAAACTCTCAAACAGCAGGGCTTGTTGTTGCAATTTTGGTAATCTCAGGTTCAGCACCCCTGCATGCGTAGAAACTGGACTGTTATACAAAAGTAAAACATTTTATCTGCCCAGGCTTTTGGTTTTTAATTGGGAGGGTCACTTGGATGTAACTTGGCTGTTTTCATGCTCATTTTTTATAGTGGGGTAGGGAGAAATTGTGCAAGATATATATTTTAAAAAACTATTTGTTTGCATCTGATCTTAATGTCTGTTAGGTCTGTTTTTGTTGTGCACTTTGAGACACGGTAATCATCATCATCATTATTATTATTATTTTCAAATCTTTGCTCGCTTCAGCCTCTGATACAGTGGTACCTCAGGTTAAGAACTTAATTTGTTCTTAACCTGAAACTGTTCTTAACCTGAGGTACCACTTTAGCTAACGGGGCCTGCCGCTGCTGCGCAATTTCTGTTCTCATCCTGAAGCAAAGTTCTTAACCCGAGGTACTATTTCTGGGTTAGTGGAGTCTGTAACCTGAAACGTCTGTAACCTGAAGCATCTGTAACCTGAGGTACCACTGTACTACTCTTTACTAGCATATCCTATACTAGCATAGGGAAGTTTTTAATATTTAATGCTGTATTGTTTTTAACACTCGATTGGGAGCCACCCAGAGCGGCTGGGGAAACTCAACCGGATGGCCGGGGTATAAATAATAAATTATTATTATTAATCCCCACCCCACCCCACAGAGGTTTGGCTCAAACAGTAGAGGACCCCTAGACTGTGAAAGGCTCCCCAACTTTGGTCCACCAAGTTTCATCTCATGCACTCAACGCTGTCTTTATTCCTCCCTCCCTCAGATCAACAAGCTCGACAAAGCCGTGGCCGCAGCCCACACGTTCTTTGTGGCCAACCCTGGCCACATGGAGATGCGGCAGAACTTGGACTACTACCAGATGATGGCAGGCGTCAAAGATTCTGACTTTGTCGACTTGGAGGCCAAGCCGCACATGGTGAGAACGCCATTGGCCACTGTACGTCACCCATGCCCAGATTCTCCCCCCCAACACACATATGCACAGAGAGAGTCCATATTCTGCCCACAGGAGCCAACTCCTAGGGCCTGAGGGATCTCCAGCCCCCCAAATAAAATATTTGAGGGGATTGTCCCGTCCCCCTCAAGTTGATGGGCATTGCCATTCAAATGGTGTGCGTGCACCACATCATATGATCAATTATGAGGGGCGGGGCTTACCTCCCCCCTCCCCAATATTTTATTCAAAATGGTGCCTCTGATTCTGTCTATGAATTATTACCTAAGCTGGTTGGTCCAGAATCTATCCTGGGCTACATAAATTCCACATTTTGAGCCACAAATGTGGTCTCCAAATGGGTCTTTCTGTGGACCGTGTGGCTTTGCACAGGAGACTTAGCAAGTAGGTGTCAGAGTTCAATCCTGCCCAGGGCTGAAACCTGGGGACACCTGTGAGGAGGAGGGGAGGCAGAACCCTCCCCCTCACCACAAAAAAATAAATAAATTCTGGCATCCCTCAACATTCAAACACGGTCATTCCAGCCATAAGAATGGAGGTTTCCACAGCAGGTTTTCCAGTTCCTGACTGGAAAATTCCCACCACAGGGCCTAGAGGTGGCCAATCCTGTTTCACCGCCTGAGGCGAAACAGCAATTGCTGCCGGCCCGCTCCCCTTCTATTGCCGGAACCTCCCAGTTCTTGCAAGAGCCAGGGTTCTCCCCAAAGCATTGAAGGCAACTCAAGTTCTCGGCTCAGGGGCAGGTAAGATGAGTGGCAACACCACATGCTGGAACACCTTATTCTTGCTGACAGTGGCAGGAACAATGGGGTGAGCTAGTCCAGACCAGAGCAGCTACATTGCTTGTCGAGCCAAACTACTGCCAGTATATAACACTTTGCTTGTGGGATTCGCACTGGTGGCCAAACTGCAACTGGGCCAAGTTTGAGGTGCTGCCGTATAAGGCACGGTGCTTCTTACTGTACACCTGAGAGACGGCCTGCTCCCTTATGTATCTCCTCCCGGTTTCAAAGATCCCAGAAGGCCTCTCCTCATTGACCTGAAGCAGGGCCTCCAAGGTGGGTGCCCCATTCTGGGGAATCCGACAGGCACCCACCCTCTGTGCTTTCCAGAAATAACTGGAGGAATTTTTGTTCTGACAGGCTTTGCCAGCTAGATAAAAAGGGTCTTTGCCATGAGCCTTAATAAAGTCTGAGAAATCAAGATTCCTCCAAGCATATGCTCTGTGCAGCCTAGCTAAGATTGAGGTTGGTGGACTAGCTTCCAATCTGTGCTTCCCATCTCTCGCACAAGTTCTGACTGCTTCCCATGCCCCCCTTTTTTTGTAGGAAGAATTCCGCCTGGGTGTGAGTTACTACACGGAGGAGAAGCCTCAGGCGGCCATCTTGCACCTGGAGAAGGCACTAGAAGCCTACTGGGTCGCCGACACAGAGTGCCGAGCCCTTTGCGAGGGGCCGTACGATTACGAAGGCTACAACTACCTCGAGTACAACGCGGACCTTTTCCAAGCTATCATTGGTGAGCCCTAACGAGCGGCCAGAGTGTTGTGGACGAGCGAAAGAAACTCAATGACTTGTTTTCTCTAAATGCCAAAGCGCCCCATTCAGTTTGTGGCTGGACTGCATCACTCAGCAGCAGGGGGCATGGTCTAAACCACTGAGCCTCTTGGGCTTGCTGATCAGAAGGTGAGCGGTTCAAATCCCCACCTCAGAGTGAGCTCCTGTTGCTCGGTCCCAGCTCCTGCCAACCTAGCAGTTTGAAAGCACACCAGTGCAATTAGATAAATAGGTACTGCTGTGGCGAGAAGGTAAACGGCATTTCTGTGCGCTCTGGTTTCCGTCATGCTGTTCCGTTGCACCAGAAGTGGTTTAGTTATGCTGGCCACATGACTCGGAAAGCTGCCTGCGGACAAATGCCGGCTCCCTTGGCCTGAAGGGAGATGAGCGCTGCAACCCTATAGTTGCCTTTGACTGGACTTAACTGTCCAGGGGTCCTTTACCTTTTTCCCCCCTTGTCTTTTTAACCACTCAGGAGCATATGAAGTGAAGAGGGCTGGGAGTTGGTTTGCCAATGCAGTCTGGGGAAATTAAATCCAAACCACAGCTGCAAAGGGGCAAAGCTGTCTGCGTTGAACGGCAAGTCCTGTTTGCAAAGGAACAGTCAGGAGCTCACTTCAAGGATTGTTCCTGGTAGCCACACCCTTTCCTGTCCCATACCTGACGTCACATATGACATCAGGTGTGGGGTAGGTAGCCAGGGTTTGGGCTGTCCTGGGTCTGATATGGCACACAGCCTGAAGGTTCCCTGCCTCTGGTCTGCAAAAACCCCTCTAACTCTCTGGTCCTGTTCTTAAGAAGAAACCTGGTTTGTCGTCGTTGGTTTTTTTGCCAGATCACTACACACAAGTGTTGAGCTGCAAGCAAGGCTGCGTCACAGAACTTGCGTCTCAAACCGGAAGTGAGAAGCCCATTGAGGACTTCCTCCCATCTCATTTCAACTACCTTCAGTTTGCCTACTACAACAGTAAGTTGAGAGAAAAGGTCCAGGCACAATGGTTCTTATTTTTGTGGTAAGAAACTGGCCTGCTTCCCCTTTCAGCTGTTTTACTCTGTGCCCCCTTTCCAGGAAAAATTATCCTTTTTCACCCTCATGATATCACATACCTAAAACGCACCACACATTGTACAGTATACAATAAATGTGTTTGTCTAGATAATGTTTTAATATATACACTTCATAACACCCAAAGAGGCTTCTAAGTGGTTTGCAAGTACAGTGGTACCTCTGGATACGAACGGCATCCGTTCCGGATCCCCGTTCACATCCTGAAGTGAATGTAACCCGCACGGGTTGCGATTCGCCGCTTCTGTGCATGCGCATGGCATCATTTTGACCGTCTGCGCATGCGCAAGCAGCGAAACCCAGAAGTAACGCCCCTTCAGCAAAGCGGGAGGAGGAATGGAAGGGGTTCCGTTTCTCCTGCCGCTTCGCTGAAGGAGCACTGCGCAGAGAGGGAGATATATATTTTTTCTTGTTCTCCCCCTCTAAAACAAGGTGCGTCTTATGGTCGGGTGCGTCCTATAGAGCAAAAAATACGGTACATTCTCCCTCCACTGCTATGCCTCTGAATAGCAGTTGGTGTTGCTCCCAGGTCCTGCTTGCAGGATTCCCCTTGGGGGATCTGATAATCTGCCCCTCTGGACCAAATGGGTGCCTGGCCTGATCCAGATGCAGGTCTTCTTCTTCTTTTTACATCCTTATGTTAGCTCTCTCCCCTTTTCCAGGTGGCGACTACGAGAAGGCCATTGAGTGTGCCAAAACCTATTTGCTCTTCTTCCCTAACGACGAAGTGATGAAACAGAACCTGGCCTACTACACAGCTGTGCTGGGGGACAACCTGGCCACGCCCGTACGCCCCAGAAAGGTGGGTGTCCTGGTGGGTGGAGTACAGGGGCTCACGGGTACAACAAAAAGCACACAATAAATATCAAGACTAAATAAGTGAGCATATCATAAAAAAACAGCACTGTATCAAAGCAAAACCGTTTTAAAAACACAACCATGGGGAGGAGGATGCATAACACACATACACACACAGAAGGCCTGCCACAACACAACGGCCAGTTAGTGGCCAAAGACCTATCTGAACAAGAAAAGAAAGCCTTTTCCCCCCACAGGGATTCTTAGATAAATGTTATTTCCCCCCATTTTATATATGTTTGCTGATTTTTATTTTACATCGATTCATACTCTGCATTTTCTTCAACTTACCTCTCCTCCTTTCTACAGTTACTTATTTTATATCTTTTTATTACTGCCTATCCCATTTATATTAGAAAAGAAAAGGAAGTCTTTGCCTACCAGCAAGAGGAAAGCAGAGAGGGGACCATCCTAGTATGGAGTGAAACTTACTTTTTGTAAATTTCTTCAGTGAGTGGGGTCTTAAAAAGATGCTTTGGGGTGTGAGGAATTCAAACCTGCTATTCTTTTTGTGATCGGACAACATTTAGCTTGATAAGTCTATATTTGATGAAGAGGCACATAAACTGCTTTCGGGAAACCAAAGAATTTTAATTTTACCTCCTGTAAATGTCAGGTAACCATAAATATAACTGAAAGTGCTTGGCAGTCATTTTTGATTATTTCTATGCAGTTTTACACAAATTCACTTACCAGGCAAAACTAGATTATATCAATTAAACCAAAATATGTTTCAGATTCCCAAGTCGTGTTACGACTTTTTAGCGCCCCCCCCCCTTTTTTGGAATTCAAAAGTTGAAACAATTCAACACACCCCTACTGGCCTAGGCTCCCCGTGGAAAGAAGTTCCACAATCTGGGAGCAGCTACTAAGCCCCCTCTCTCTCTCACCAAACGTGCCTGGGAGGGTGGCAGGATTAAGAGAAAGGCTTCCCTAGGAGATCTCAGACCCCAGGCTGAGGGAGATCTGGTCCTTCAGCTGAACCACCCCACAAGGTTCCCCACCCCTGTGCTGGCTAATGGAGGAATCTTTTTGATTTGCCCGCTTCTGACTTTTCTGCCCTCCTTTTCTCCCCCTGCCCCTCAGGATGTCGAGCTCTATTGGAGACGCAGCCTTCTGGAGAAAGAGCAGCTTTTCTTCGCCTACGACGTCTTTGGGATCCCCTTCGTGGACCCGGTAAGAGGCGGCTCCTTCGGCCTGACACCCGTTCTGTTTTGCCCTTTTTTTAAGGAAAGGCGGATGAGGGGAAAGTGCAAAGTATGGGGCCTAGGGCTTTGAGGTGGGGAGGGGACAGAGCTGGCGCTGTGTGAGTCAAGGAGGAAGGGATCTGTGGAGAGCTACATGTTATTGGACTACAGTTCCCATCATCCCCAGTTTCTGACCACAACGACTGGGCAGCTGAGACCAGGAACCTCAGCAGGCCCAGAATTCCACCACCCCTGGTTGTACGTTTTCAGGGAATTCCTTGCGCTAAGTTCTTTTTCTCTCCCCCTGTTTTTAAGGACACTTGGACACCGGAAGAGGTGATACCGAAGAGGCTGCAAGAGAAGCAGAAGTGAGCTCCTTTTTCTCCCCCCCCCTTTTTTTTAAATGCTTTTATATCCCACTTTTTCCTTCAAGGAGCCCCAGATGGCCCCCATGGCTCCCTTCCTCATTTAATCCCCAGAACAACCCTCTGAGGTAAACGGCCTCGGTCCTGTATACCTGAAGGAGCGTCTCCACCCCCATCATTCAGCCCGGACACTGAGGTCCAGCGTCGAGGGCCTTCTGGCGGTTCCCTCATTGCAAGAAGTGAGGTTACAGGGAACCAGACAGAGGGCCTTCTCGGTAGTGGCGCCCACCCTGTGGAACGCCCTCCCTTCAGATGTGAAGGAAATAAACAGCTATCTTATGTTTAAGAGACATCTGAAGGCAGCCCTATTTAGGGAAGTTTTTAATATTTAATGCTGTATTGTTTTTAACACTTGATTGGAAGCCGCCCAGCGTGGCTGGGGAAACTCAGCCAGATGGGTGGGGTATAAATAATAAATTATTATTATTATTATCCAAGGCTGAGAGGCAGGGACTGGCTCCAAGGCCACCCATTGAGAGCTTCATGGCGAAGTGGGGATTTGAACTCTGGTCTCTCAGGTCCTAGTCCAGTACTCTAACCACTACACCATGTTGGTCTCTGCTTATGTCTCTGCCTTGCTTGTTCTCCCTGGCTGCCTTATAGCTCGGAGCTAGGCTTTTGAAGCTGGCTCTCCTTCCACATCTGCATGGGAACTCTTCCCCCCAACCACACCACCCAGGCCAGCAATTGGCTCCATTCCAAGGTCTACCTGTTAATAATAATAATAATAATAATAATAATAATAATAATATAACAACAACAACAACAACAACAATAAATTTTTATTTACATCCCACCCTCCCCAGCTGAAGCTGGGCTCAGAGCGGCTAACAACAGTAAAAGTAACACAGTTTACATGAAATCGCAATCAATTCATTGAAATACATTCTAAAATCAGTTCATTCTCAAATCAATTCTGAATCAAATTAATGGCAACCATTGGGCTAGAGTTCTATGAGGATTACAGAAGGAGGGGGTCAGACTGTGCCTTGGCCAAAGGCCTGGTGGAACAGCTCTGTCTTGCAGGCCCTGCGGAAAGATGTCAAGTCCCGCAGGGCCCTAGTCTCTTGTGACAGAGTGTTTCACTAGATCGGGGCCACAGCCGAAAAAGCCCTGGCTCTGGTTAAGACCAGCCTAACCTCCCTGTGGGCCGCGGGTGGCGCTGTGGGTAAAACCTCAGTGCCTAGGACTTGCCGATCGTATGGTCGGCGGTTCGAATCCCCGCGGCGGGGTGAGCTCCCGTCTTTCGGTCCCAGCTCCTGCCCACCTAGCAGTTCGAAAGCACCCCTAAGTGCAAGTAGATAAATAGGTACCGCTTATAGCGGGAAGGTAAACAGCGTTTCCGTGTGCTGCGCTGGTGCTGGCTTGCCAGAGCAGCTTCGTCACGCTGGCCACGTGACCCGGAAGTGTCTCCGGACAGCGCTGGCCCCCGGCCTCTTAAGTGAGATGGGCGCACAACCCTAGAGTCGGACACGACTGGCCCGTATGGGCAGGGGTACCTTTACCTTTAACCTCCCTGTGGCCCAGGATCTCCAAGATGTTTTTATTTGAAGACCGTAAGGTCCTCCGTGGGACAAACCAGGAGAGGTAGCCCTATAGGTACGAGGATCCTAGGCCGTATAGAGCTTTAAGGGTTGAAATCAGCACCTTAAACCTGATCCTGTACTCCACTGGGAGCCAGTGCAGCTGGTATAGAACCAGGTGAATGTGATCCCGCGACGAGGACCCTGTAAGGAGTCTCGCTACGGCATTCTGCACCCTCTGGAGTTTCTGGGTCAGTCTCAAGGGCAGCCCCACGTACAGTGAGTTGCTGTTGACCTTCCAGCCGATGACGCCGCCCTGTCTCTGCATTCTCTGCAGGGTGGAGCGTGAGACGGCAGCCCGCATCTCGGAAGAAATAGGCAACCTCATGAAGGAGATTGAGAACCTGGTGGAGGAGAAGACGAAGGAGTCCACGGACATGAACAAGCTCGTGCGAGAAGGTGACAGGGCAGCCTGGGGTTTTTTCAGTGGCCATGGGAAAGGGGTCTCTTCCCATGGCTCCCGCTGTGTCTCCAGCTCTTGTGTCCCAACTGCAGGGTCTAATCCCTTTTCTCGGGCGTGGGGAACCTGCGGCCCTCCATAAAGTCTCCCAGCTCCCTTTATCCTTGACCGTTGGCTATGTTGACTGGAGACGATGCGGGTTTCAGCAACATCCAGAGGGGCCACACCCCTGACATGCCTCTAGCCTAGCTTCTGCCGCCTCCTCTCTGATTAGACTGCTGCAGTGACTTACGCATGGGGCCACCCTTGAAGACAGCTTCTAAACTGAAGCTAGGACAGAGCTCGAGATTGCTGACTGGAAGGACAAGGCTTGGCCCCCAGCCCCAGCTGCACCTAGTGACCAATTGGCTCCCCCAGAGAACAGTGGACTACAGCTCCCAGCATCCCTATGGGTTGAGGGTTGATGGGAGGTGGAGTCCAACAGCATCTTGAAGCGCCTCCAGGTTCCATAATGCCTCAGCTGCTTCTTGTTGCCTCACACAGGAGGCCCCTTGGTGTATGACGGGCTTGGCATCACCATGAACTCCAAGTTGCTCAACGGCTCCCAGCGTGTGGTGGTGGACGGCTTTCTGTCCGACGAGGAGTGTCGGGCGCTGCAGAGGCTGACCAATGTGAGTAGCTGCCCCTCGGGTCCCAGCACAGCACTGTGGATGCTCTGGGAGGCTGCAGCTCGCTCTAGAGTCTTGGTCCAGGGGGGTTCTTTCTCAGCTCAGCTGCCTTAGCTGTTTGTCTGACCCTAGAGATGCACAGGGATTGAACCACGAGGGGACTGCTCTCAGGTTCTGCCATTTGGCCTGAGATGAATCCTGCTTGAGGGACGCTGGTGGCACTGTGGTCTAAACCACTGAGCCTCTTGGGCTTGCCAATCAGAAGGTCGGCGGTTCGAATCCGCACAATGGGGTGAGCTCCCGTTGCTCTGTCCCAGCTCCTGCCTACCTAGCAGTTTGAAAGCACGCTGGTGCAAGTAGATAAATAGGTACCGCTCCGGTGGGAAGGTAAACGGCATTTCCATGCGCTCCGATTTCCGTCATGGTGTTCCATTGCACCAGAAGCAGTTTAGTCATGCTGGACACATGACCAGGAAAGCTGTCTGTGGACAAACGGCAGCTCCTTCAGCCTGAAAAGTGAGATGAGCACCACACCCCATAGTCGCCTTTGACCGGACTTAAATGTCCAGGGGTCTTTTGCTCTCTTTTTTTACTGGGGGTTTTCACCACAATCCCAGAAGAAAAAAGAGGATTGAAATGTTCAGTTTTACTTGGAGTAGACTTGCTAAGATGTGTAAGACTGAATCAGATAAGTGCTGGAGATGCAATGAGGTCGAGGGTATGTTCTTTCATGTGTGGTGGATTTTTAAAAGGGTAAAAGAGTATTAGGAAATAATTTATTATGAATTGAAAAAAAATGTTTAAAAGCACCTTTCCAAAAAGAAAACAAAAAACAGAGTCCTTTTTGTTGGGGATAATTCAGATGGAAATTCCCAGGTGTCAAAAAAGGTTATTTATATGCCACTATGGTGGCCTGTGTTTTGTTAGCCCAAAAATGGAAATGGTCCCAACCAAAGAAGAATGGCAGCTTAAACTGATGGAATACGTGCAGCTTGCGGATCTTAGGTATAGAATAAGAGAACAAGAAGAACATTCATTTAAAGAAGATTGGAAAATGTTTATTGAATACATGGCGGGGAGGGGAATTGTGTACACTTGAAAACATTGGCAGCATTAAGATAAATTCAACAGTGTAAATAAGTATCGATGGAAGTAATAATGGAATACGGAATGGTTTAGTCTGTATAAAATATGCAGGGATTTATGCTATGTAAAATGAACCATGGAAACAGAAGGGAAGTGATTGCTATTTTAAGGTTGTATAAATGAATATTCTAAATTGTAAAGCGCAATCTGTAACACACAAAAATTATAAATAAATAAATGTTCAGTTTTTATATATATCTTCTCTACCCTCTCCCAACGCAGGCAGCTGCCTCTGCCGGCGATGGCTACCGTGGGAAGACCTCCCCACACACCCCCAGCGAGACTTTCTATGGCGTCACTGTCTATAAAGCACTCAAGGTAAGCCTCTGAAAGAGCAGAAATCCGGGCTCAGCCTTCTGGGGGGAGTCTAGGACACAAGAACGTAAGAGGGGGCCCCTGATGGATCAGGCCAATGGCACCCCTAGTCCAGCATCCTCTTCGCACCGTGGGAAACCCACAAGCAGGATTCGAACACAAGACCCCTCTCCCCTCCTGTGGTTCCCAGCAGCTGGTATTCAGAAGCATAGCTGCCTACAACGGTGCAGGTTTTGTAGACATGCGTTGCTTGAATGAGCCTGTTTCCTGTGTAAATCTCTGTCTTTGTCATCAAAGACGCAGGCAGAAGTTGCTTTCAGTGATGTTTGGACTGTAACAAATACAGAAAGCATTGCAGCCTCCTTAGCTAGATCCCAACCTTACTGTGGAATAATAAACCATGGTCGTTTGTTCCCTCAACTTTTGGGGAGTTTTGAATTGTCGTTGTTATTTTTTCTTACCGATAAACGTTTATTATTTTGGGGGTTTTTTAATAATAATTTTTATTGAGTTTTCCATATTTGTCACAATCACATTTTGTTACATATATCAATAACCTTAAACATTGCTCGACTGAGCACCGACCTCCTTCCCTCCCTCTTTCTGACATCTTTACTAAATTCTTAGCATCTCTATATCCCACTTTTTACTTTCTATCTCCCTTTAACATTTCACCTCATTATATGTAAATCAGCTCCTTGTATTCACATTGCAAAACATTCCAACTCAAACCTACAAACGTTTTCAAATGTTTGCAATTTTCTTTCATATAAAATATAAATTTGCTCCGGTCCCTTTGAAACAGTTCGCCGCGCCGATTCCAGATCTTCCCCGTTGGTCTTTTTTGTAAACAGCTATTGAGGTGGTTGTTTTTGCTGTGTGTGTACCTTCAAGCGGCAGGCCTAGGATAGCTCAGTCAGTAGATCACAGGAATCTTAATCTCAGGGTTGTGGGTTCAAGCTCCAAGTTGGGCAAAAGATTCCTGCATTGCAGGGGGTTGGACTAGATGACCCTCAGGGACCCACCCAACTCTGCCGTTCTATGATTCTGCGAAATGTCATGAAATAAACAAATGAACCAGGTGCCTGTGTCAGTGAAGATGGAGCACAGGACCTGTTGTCTTCGGGGCAGCAGTCCATTTTTAAAGCCGGTGAGGGACCAGGGACAGGCCGCTGGGAGAGATAATCAGGGGAGTTGGGCTGGGTGTTCATCAGTATGCGGATGATACCCAGCTCTACCTCTCTTTTAAATCATAACCAGTGATGGCGGTGAAGGTCCTGTGTGAGTGTCTGGAGGCAGTTGGTGAGTGGGTGGCGGCTAACAGATTGAGGTTGAATCCTGACAAGACAGAAGTACTATTTTGGGGGGACAGGGGGCAGGAGGTGTATGGGGACTCCCTGGTCCTGAATGGGGTAGCTGTGCCCCTGAAGGACCAGGTGCGCAACCTGGGAGTCATTCTGGACTCACAGCTGTCCATGGAGGCGCAGGTCAGTTCTGTGCCCAGGGCAGCTGTCTGCCAGCTCTATCTGGTACACAGGCTGAGACCCTACCTGCTGGAAGACTGTCTCACCAGAGTCATGCATGCTCTGATTATCTCCTGCTTGGACTACGGCAATGCGCTCTACGTGGGGCTACCTTTGAAACTACAACTAATCCAGAATGTGGCAGCTAGACTGGTGACTGGGAGTGGCCACCGAGTCCATATAACACCAGTCCTGAAAGACCTACACTGGCTCCCAGTATGTTTCTGAGCACAATTAAAAGTATTGGTGTTGACCTTTAAAGCCCTAAATGGCCTCGGCCCAGTATACCCGAAGGAGCGTCTCCACCCCCATCATTCAGCCTGAGGTCTAGCTCCGAGGGCCTTCTGGCGGTTCCCTCCCTGCGAGAAGTGAGGTTACAGGGAACCTTGCAGAGGTGGTGGCACCTGCCCTGTGGAACGCCCTCCCATCAGATGTCAAGGAAATAAGCCACTTTCTGATGTTTAGAAGACATCTGAAGGCAACCCTGTTTAGGGAAGTTTTTAATGTTTGACCGTTTATTGTGTTTTTAGTATTCTGTTGGGAGCTGCCCAGAGTGTCTGGGGAAACCCAGCCAGATGGGCGGGGTATAAATAATAAGTTGTTGTTGTTATCTGGGACTTGAACCTCCTCTGTGTGCCTCTTAGGGCCCTCGTATCTATGGGACCGCCTCTCCTGGTATGCCCCGCAGAGGAGCTTAAGGTCCACGAATAACCATAGTTTAGCGGTCCCGGACCCTAAGGAAGTCAGACTATCCTCCACCAGGGTCTTTTCAGTGATGGCTCCGACCTAGTGGAATGCTCTGTCCCATGAGACTAGGGCCCGTCAGGATTTAACCTCCTTCTGTCGGGTGTGTAAGACAGAGCTATTCCGCCTGACCTTTAATTTGAATTCAGCCTGATCTTTTATTTCCCTTCTCTTCCTTCCCCCTCCCCTTTTATGAAGATCACCTGCTCTGAGACCCCACAGCTAATTCTCCCCTGGCCTCCTCGCTGGCCCAAGTAGGACCAATTCAACCAGCTAGCCCTGGGGATTATCTAATTGACTTTTGAATTTTATTGTTATTCATGTTTTTATACTATATTTTATGCTGCTTTTATAATTAAGTGTTTTAAAGTGTTTTAAATTTGTTGTTAGCCGCCCTGAGCCCAGTTTTTGAACCGGGAAGGGCGGGGTATAAATAAAAATTTATTATTATTATTATTATTATTATTATTATTATTCCTCCGCAGCTGGGACAGGAAGGCAAAGTGCCCATGCAAAGTGCTTACCTCTACTACAACGTGACCGAGAAGGTCCGGCTGGTGATGGAGTCCTATTTTCGCCTCGACACCCCCCTGCATTTCTCTTACTCCCACCTGGTGTGCCGCACTGCTATTGAAGGCAAGTAGGGCATTCTGCACATCCTCTAGCACAAAACACCCTGCCTCAAGCCACACCCCCTCGCCAGGCCACGCCCCCTCGCCAGCCCTGCCTTGCACCCTCTTTGGGTGCACCATGAGGACTAGAAACGTGAAGGGCTGCTTTCTTTCGAAAGCCGGGTCCTTGGGGTAATTGAATCTTCACTGCCAAGCGTGGCAGGCTGGCCGCAGTGGTGCAAACTTTCAGTGGTGCCTGTCTCCCGTGCAGATAAACAAGAAGACCGGGCGGATCCGAGCCACCCTGTACACGTGGACAACTGCATCCTTAACGCAGAGGCTTTAGTGTGTGTCAAAGAGCCGCCAGCCTACACATTTCGGGACTACAGGTAATGGCTGTGGGGAAGTGGAGAGAATGAAAAATTCCTTCTCCGCTGACAACAGCAAGGCACTGCGGTGGTTGTTCTCCTGAGCAGCTTTTTGACCTCTTAAGGAATGGCACAGACCCTGTGTCCCTCTAGATCAGCCTTTCTCAACCTGTGGGTCCCCAGATGTTGTTGAACTGCAACTCCCATCACCCTTAGCTAGCAAGGCCAGAGCTGAGGGATGATGGGAGTTGTAGTCCGACAACATCTGGGGACCCACAGGTTGAGCACCGTTGCTCTAGAGGTAGTTGGACTACCCCAGTGCTGGACCAGCCAGTGCTGGTCACGGAAGATGGGAGTTATAGTGTATAACATCTGGAGGGCCACAGCTTCCCCATCCCTGGGCTAAAGGCTCCTGGGAGCACCATCCGGAAAGGAGGCTGTGTGTTGTGTCCCTGCATGAGTGGCTGCTCTGCCAATGGGGAACCTGAGGATCTCCAGATGTTGTTGGGTTACTGCAGCAGCTACCAGCCCCAGCCAGCATGGCCAGCAGTCAGGGGTGAGGTGGGAGTTGTAGTCTAGCAACCTCTGGAAGGTCAAAAGTCTCTCGCCTTATTCTTAAGACAGTTGGCAAGGTCTAGCTGCCTGAAGACCCACCCTTTTAGGACAGTGGTGGAGAACCCTTTTTTCTGGTGGTGGGCCAGGTCAGTCAGCAAGGGGTATGTGTGTTGCAGGATTGCATAGTTCACTTCCTCTATCCTTGGAAGACTTTTCACACACACACACACACACACACAACAGAGAGAGAGAGAGAGAGAGAGACAGAGAGAGACAGAGAGAGAGAGAGAGAGAGACTGGGCTCATGTTCATGACTTCTGCCTTGTTTATTTTCTTTAAGTGTCTATCCCAGGTTTTTCCACTAGGGGACCTTAGAGCCGCTCCAAAGACTTAACGTTACCCAGCATGAGAGTAAAGCAATTAAAATACCCATTTAAAACAATATAAGAGCAGCCTGTCAAAAGACCAGCATAGGGAAGACATGTCAGGCACAGGTAGCCAACCTCTGCCAGGTTATTCTTGAAATAGCAACTTGCCGGAGTCCCGTGTCTGGTTCTGGGCACCCCAGTTTTAGAAGGATATCGACAAGCTGTAGCATGTGTGGAGGAGGGCGACCAAGAGGATAAAGGGTCTGCAAGACAAGCATGATGAGGAATGGTTGAGGGAGTTGAGTATGTTTAACCTGGAGAAGAGGAGACTGAGACGTTGATAGGATAGAGCCATCTTCAAATAGGCTGTCCCAAGTGAGATATAGCAACCTTGTTTTCTGTTCTGTGGGTCGCAGCGCTGGCACCCAAGAGAACATGTTTGGTTTACCTATCTGCATACATTTTGCTCAGCCCCTTCTGCTCAGAAGGACTTGGCAGGGCTTCCAATTTCCATCTTGAACAATGAGGACTAGAATCCCTCTTTTTTAAAAAGGAAGGAAGGAAGGAAGGAAGGAAGGAAGGAAGGAAGGAAGGAAGGAAGGAAGGAAGGAAGGAAAGGGTAGGCAGTTCTTATGCATATCCCCTGCACCGTAACAGAGGCTGCCTTTGCTCCATAATGCACTGCAAATTGGAGTCTGGAGCAGCAGTTGCCATTATGGTGCCCACGGGCGCAATGGTGCCCCTGTGGTCTTCCCCTGGTGTTTGTAGAGCCTCTGAGGGCCCCACCCCATGGCCACATGGTGGCAAAAGACCGATTACCTTATTTCTCCCCTAAAAAGAATATACAGTGGTGCCTCGCAAGACGAAATTAATTCGTTCCGCAAGTCTCTTCGTCTTGCGATTTTTCCTGTCTTGCGAAGCACGGTTTCCCATAGGAATGCATTGAAAATCAATTAATGCGTTCCTATGGAAACCGACTTCAGACCAGGTCCGGGGACAGTCTGTCCCCCGACCTCTTCTGAAGGCTGGGGGGGGGACCAAGGGCTTTTCTTCCCACCCCCAGCATTTTAAAAAACCCCGGGACAGCGGGGGACTTCTCCGCTGTCCGGGGCGATCTTAAAATGCTGGCGGGCGGGAGCGAAGCCTCCGCTATCGCCCGCCAGCATTTTAAAAAAACCCGAGACAGCGGGGGACTTCTCCGCTGTCCCGGGGCGATTTAAAAGCCCCCGGGAAGGCAGGCAGGGGGGACAAAGACTTTTGCCCCCCGCCGGCCTTCAGAAGAGGTCCAGGACCTCTTCTGAAGGCGGGCGGGGGGCGAAAGTCTATGCTCCCCCCTGCCTGCCTTCAGAAGCCCTCCGGGACAGCGGAGAAACACGCTGCATTTCTCCGCTCTCCCGGGAAGGCAGGCAGGGGGGAGCAAAGACTTTCGCCCCCCGCCGGCCTTCAGAAGAGGTCCTGGACCTCTTCTGAAGGCCGGCGGGGGGCAAAAGTCTTTGCTCCCCCCCCCTGCCTTCAAAAGCTGTCTGGGATAGCGGAGAAACGAAGGCTGGCGGCGGGAGGAGGTCTCTCCGCCCACCGCCAGCCTTCGGAGGAGGTCCGAGGACAGTGGGGAAGACGCGCTGCGCTTCCCCGCTGTCCCGGAGATTTCCCTATGGGCTTTCGTCTTGCGAAGAAAGCCCATAGGGAAATTCGTTTTGCGAAGCGCCTCCAAAACGGAAAACCCTTTCGTCTAGCGGGTTTTCCGTCTTGCGAGGCGTTCGTCTTGCGGGGCACCACTGTAGAGCTGAAAGACGAAGTTGGGAGTGTGATGCTCTTTCCCTCTTCCTCCTCCAGCTCTGTGCCCTTTTTCAAGTCTCAGATCTGTGGAAGTGCCCACGATGCTCTCTTAAAAAGGCAAATGAGCCCCGTGGCCAAAAAACATTGGCAGCCCCTGGGAAGAGGGTCCTTTAAGGACACTTTCAAAACGAACCAGGTGAACGTTAGTCTGTGTGTTTTTCTGCTCCACCAGAAGGAAAGGCATTGACATAATATCTCCCCCTCTCCTCTGCTAATTCTAGTGCTATTCTCTACCTAAACGGTGACTTTGAAGGAGGAGCTTTTTACTTCACGGAGCTGGATGCCACGACGGTGACTGTGAGTCGGTTGTTCCTCTTTGTGTTCTGTGCTCTTACGGGTGTCTTTGGGCAAAGGGAATCCTCCCCGAGGTCATCTTTGCTGGACTCCGCAGTCTGTGTGTGACCCTTGGTGCAAATGAGCCAGCTCTGTATTGCCTCCAATATTCGCCCTGCTCAGAGTAGACCCACTGAAGTTAGTGGATTTCATTCGTTTCAGCGGGGCTATGCCCCTTCCGTGCTGGATTCTTTTGTACTTTGTGCAAATAAGCATAATTGGACCTGGACACATCAAAGAAGCGTTTCACTTCAATGCATTGCAAGCTTTGTATTAGAAATCGGGTTAGCAAAAACGGAACTCCACAGCGCCGTCTGGTGTCACGGTGTTAGAATGCATAAACCAACGCATATAAAGCGATTTCTCTTTGCCAATGAGTCGTGGTTCTGTCTCTTCCGCTTAATGTTAGCAGTTATACCAGGGCTCACCAACAGATGCAACACTGCCCCCCTGAGTGCCCACGAGGTCTCTGAGCCTCCTTCGCACTCACTCAGTGGCCCTCAGCTGCCAGGTGGTGAGAGTGGTTCGCTTTGTCTCCCCTGAAACCTCCTTCCTAGAAGGAGGAAGTTGGAAAAGTCAAACGCTTTCCCACTTCTTTCAGATCTGTGTCTTTTTCTGGGAGTGGCAAGAAGGGTGGGGGGTGAATCCTTTTTTCTTTTTTTAAAAAAATCCTTTTTATTTGATTTTACAAAAATAAAATTATAACATTTCAAATGCATATCCACATGTAGATATTACTCTGAATCTCGCGACTTCTCCCCACCCTCTCCATGGGTCCTATTATCAACATTTACAGCTGCATATTATTCCATACTCTATATTTCATATCAGTCCAAATTATCCATGGTAGATAAATAGATAGATAATTTATTACAGTCAGAGACTAAAATCCATGGTATCTGTTACATTAAAAGGTAAAGGTACCCCTGCCCGTACAGGCCGTCTTGACAGACTCTAGGGTTGTGCGCTCATCTCACTCTAAAGGCCGGGAGCCAGCGCTGTCCGCAGACACTTCCGGGTCACATGGCCAGCGTGACAAAGCTGCTCTGGCGAGCCAGCACAGCACACACGGAAACACCCTTTACCTTCCCGCTAGTAAGCGGTCCCTATTTATCTACTTGCACCCGGGGGTGCTTTCGAACTGCTAGGTTGGCAGGCGCTGGGACCGAGCAGCGGGAGCCGTGGGGGATTCGAACCACCGACCATGCAATCGGCAACTCCTAGGCGCTGAGGTTTTACCCACAGCGCCACCCGCATCCCATCTGTTACATTACAAGTGAGATTAAAATCCTGCTAATGTTTCCATCTGCTTGTAGTGGTCTCCTAGATCAGTTATAATTTTTTCCCATTCTTTTTTAAAGTTTTTGTCCTCTTGGTTCCTGAGTTTCCCAGTCAGCTTTGCCGTTTCAGCTTAGTTTGCCATTCCTCTCTGGTAGCGACTTTGTCTTCCTTCTATCTCTGGGCTAGTAACGTGCGAGCGGCTGTACATAAAAAGTATTTTCTGCTCCTTTGGGATGTCAGTACCTATAATTCCTAATAATAAAGCTTCTGTTTTTTTCACAAAAGTTATTTTAAACATTTTTTTCCATTTCATTATATATCATCTCCCAGAAAGCTTTTATTTTCTGACACACCCACCACATATGATAAAAGGTACCTTCTTTTTCTTTACATTACCAGTAGATATTTGTACCTGTTCCATACATTGTTTCAAACTTACTATGAGTCAAATACCACCAGTATTTGTTCATGAATCCTAATGTGCCCACTGGCCTAGAAAGGCCATTTGCCTTCCAGGTGTTTGGGACTACAAACTCCCATCAGCTCCAGTCAGCACAGCAATCCCGGCGGGGAGCAATTCAGTTTGGGGTGTTGTGCTGGTCCCGGGGGGAAGGTTACTGTTACCGTAGTCAAAGTTCAGTCCTGAGTCACTAGCCTGGAAATAGTTCACAAGGTGCGAGGCGAGGTTCGAAGTAGGGAGCCGGGCGGGGACAGGAACACTCGAAGATCAGAAGCAGGAAGCCGGGCGGGGAACAGGAACGCTGCAAGGTCAGAAGCAGGAAGCCGGGCGGGGAACAGGAACACTGGAGGATCAGGTCTAGGTCCGGTTAAGAGCAGGTACTGAACAACGACGTTACTCCTGCAACCTGGGACCGGGCTGACTGGCCTTTATCTTCTCTAAGGCCAGGGGCGGTCCCGGCCCCCAGGAGCCCCGCCTCTCCTGGCCTTAAGGCGAGCACTCCTCCTGGGAGAAACCAGTTCCCTTCGCCTCTCTGCCCTAAGCCTCTGCAGTTCAGGAGAGGCTGAAGGGTTACTGGGCCCCGAGGGAGACTCACCTTGAGTCACTGAGTCCTCAACCACCTCTGGAGCCAGAATGGATTCACCTGGTGCCTGCTCCTGAGGATCCGGCACAGGTGCAGGCTCCTCAGAATCAAGGCCCTGCCCCAGTTCAGCCGAGGACTCCTGTGCCGGCTGGGATTCCTCCGGTTCACTCTCTGAATCAGAATCCCAGGCCATCACAGGTGTGCTGTCCAAATCAAAATGGTCCTCTGATCATTTTTTAATGTTGCATTTTAATCTTGTTTTTAAGTTGTATTTTAATCAATTGTTTTTATACCCGGTGTTAGCCGCCTGAGCCCGGTCTTGGCTAGGGAGGACGGGGTATAAATAAAATTATTATTATTATTATTATTATTATTATTATTATTATTATTATTATTATTATCCCCTTTGTTGGTTTCCAGGCAGAGGTTCAGCCCCAGTGTGGCCGGGCTGTGGGTTTCTCATCAGGCTCCGAAAACCCACATGGCGTGAAAGCCGTGACCAAGGGCCAGCGCTGTGCCATTGCCTTGTGGTTCACCCTGGACCCCCGTCACAGCGAACGGGTATGTAGAATGGCTGTTGCTTTACCTCACTCCTCCGTTCTCAACCCCGCCATGCCCTTCTTTTTCTCCCACCCCCATGTCCAGGCCTGTGTGTAAAATTCGGCAAAAAAAGAGAGGGTTTTGCTGGGTTTCACTTCTGCATTGCAGGCGACTCGGCCTCAAGTTTTCTGCCTCCTCCCTTTCTCCCAGGGAAGGGCTTTCTAAAGCACCTGGTTGTTACGCAGAGGGCAGAGCAAGGAAGCTTAGTGGTTAGGCGCTGCATCAAAGCAGATCTTTTGGCACTTGCTAGATGGCAATAACTGTTTAGGTCCCGGATATGGATTCTGAAGATCCATTATTGGCTAAAACTACTTTTTCTTCCCGTTAGGGTCTGGCACCCTTAACTTTAACAGACACATGTGAAACAAAAATGGGGAAATCATCACTGCAAGAGGAACCAAGAGGAACGTAGGGTTCACACTGCAGGCTTTGATAATCTGTGGATATGAAAAAGCTGAATTCACAATTAAGCAATGAATAGGGGGATGTTGAGCTGCAATACCACATGAGTTGAAAGGACAAGGTATCCAGAAATTAAAGTTAACGGGAGGGGGTTTATCCAAAGAGAGGTATTTATCCAAATTAGAAATACCCAAATTTAGAAGAGCTTTTTACGCTTGCCGGATTTAATGTCCTTCCACCAGCAGGGCAGATTTGAAGGCAAACCAGTATTCACAGCGAACATGCCTCTGTGGTTTGAAGGAAGTTGAAACTACTACTCAAGCCCTACTGTGCTGTCATTACTATAAGGTTATACACTATATTTGTCACTCCAGTCACGCAGCAAACCCCCAAGCAGAACTGATGATTATTACTTAAAATACTTAATAGAGAACAGGGAACCAGACACTACCTTCAAAGTGGCTAAATTCTGTGCTGCTTATATAAAATTAAGGAGACAAGCTTTGAATGAATCTAACAGCCAATGTCTAAGTATAATAATAATAATAATAATAATAATAATAATAATAATAATAATAATAATAATTTTTATTTGTACCCCAGCCAGAGCCAGGCTCAGAGCGGCTAACAGCATATAAAGAATACATAAAAACAAGCAAGCAATCGATTAAAATGCATCCCAAAATTAATTTAAATAAATTAAAATAACACGAGTCACTCAATATGCCTCCTGAAGAATAACGGATGCAGCCGGTTTGTTCAGACAGGCTTAAAGTGGCAATTCAGTTACTAAAGCCTAGCTTAAGATGGAGTCTGAACTTGCAGGTGTTCTCATGGCTGAGAAGGGTGGAAAGAGGATGAGCCCAGGCAAGGAAGAGGATATATAGCTATGCCTTCTTCCTGCCAGGACCACCAAGTTCTCCCTAGCAGTTTTTCAGGAACGCTGAAAAACTTCAGCCCCTTCATGCGCCTTCTGGCAAAACATGAGTCGTTGGTTGGACTGCACAATGGGCAGCTGCTTTGGGTACGGCTGCAGTTTAGCCGTCATAGCACCTACGTGCTTTGCACGCAGAAGGTCCCAGGCGGAGCGCATTTTGGGAGCCCCTGTTGTAGAATCAATAATGTCAGATAGCAATAGTGGTTGCTCGCGAGTAACCAGTCAGGACTCCGACCTGTCTTTTGCAGGTTTTATTTTGGCGCAAAACTATTTACAGTGCAGAGCCACAAGTTCATGTCTGCCTCAATCGCTAGCAGAATCCAGGAGTGGTTGTTTCCTGGACCTCCCCCAACATAAGAGCTTTGTCACCCCCAGCCTCTTCCTTCCTTATTTGCGTTTTACACCTCTGCGCAGGGTGTGCGACGGAAGGGGCATGCTTCCTTCCCTGCGGCTTGGCCAGGAGCGGTGCTGAGTCTCCCAGCATCATCCTCTGGTCCTTTCCCCTCTTCCCCAGTGGAGGTGTGGCTTCTTCACCACAGGAAGAGGAACTGCTTCGCAAGATTTTCGGAGGTTCCCTGTAACCCAACTGCCCCTCTGCTCCCCTACCCTGTTCCGATGGCAGTACCCTGACAGATAATAATGAGAGCTGAACCCCATCCCACCCCACACCCTGTAACAGTCTCCTTCCTCATCCACCGCAGGAGAGAGTCCAGGCCGACGACCTGGTGCGGATGCTGTTCAACACGGAGGAAACAGAGTTGCCTCCGGAGAAGGAGACCGTGGCGGAGAAAGAGATCGTGGCAGAGAAGGAAATTGTGGCGGAGAAAGAGATCGTGGCGGAGAAGGAAATTGTGGCGGAGAAGGAGATTGTGGCGGAGAGTTCCACGCCAGCCCCAGCAGAAGACACCACTTTAGGGAAAGACGAGCTGTAATCTCCCGCACGCCAACACACAAATGTACACAACCAAGAGAGCCCAACGAGAGGCACCAACAGGCAGAACTTTTGGGACACTGAGAAGCATAGTGGACCACCAGCCTGTGGATTGGGACCCTCGTCCGGCACACAAACAAGACTGAACATGACCACCTCCCAAGTGCCTTACATATGGTTGCTGTGGCCCAGGAAGATTTCTTGGGGGGGGAGAAGGGGGAAGCTTCCTGTTTCCGTCTGCCTCTTCCCCTCCCCTGATGTTCTGTTTCTCCAAAGGAGGCCACACCACCAACTGTGTTTTCTTTTTCCTTTTCTTTTTTTTAAGGGTCTGGAGGGGTAGCCAGTTTTGGGGTGGCAGGGAAAGCTCTGCTGCCTAGAGACTTGAATTCAAATCTCCACTCGGCTGCGAAACTTAGCAGGCGACTTGTGGGCCGGTCGCCATCTCCAAATCTAACCTACCTCACAGGGTTGTTGTGAGGATAAAAGCAGGGGCAGCCCAACAGGCCCTGCCCTGAGATCTGTGGAGGAAGAGTGGGGTGCAAATGTACCAAATAAAATAAAATGGATACCACTTTCCTGCTCCAGAACAAGTAAGTGTCTTGTGTAGGTGGAAACCAGTCTTCATACAGAGGTAAAGTTTGCATTAGTTCCCCGCCCTCTTTTGCCTCTTGCTCCGCTCACCATGAGCATGTGGCCCCTGGAAGGTTGCCTAGAATGGAAAGTGGCCCTTGGCTTGCAAAAAATATTCCCTACCTTGAAGTAGAGGCTGGATGGCCATCCATCAGGGGTGCTGCAGTTGAGTCCTTCGTTGAGCAAAGGGGTTTTAATTCTGGAATGACCTCCAAAGCCCTTTCCAGCTCTAAAATTCTATGATTCTGAGTGTCCCCCAGGACAATTATGTCCTAGGACAGGGCATTTCAGTCTGCAGCCTTTTTGGCAGCCCTCGGCAACATTCAAGAAAAATTTTAAAGCCTTAAAATTTTATTTTTTATGTCATGCACTATTAACAAAAGCGCATGTTTATTAAATTGTTTAACAATTAAATCTTATTAGTTTTGTATTTCAATATGTATTTAATTAAATACATGGTGTATATTAAGTGAGTTAAAATATATTGCAAACCCTTCAATTTACAATAGGGACAATTTAATTCGGCACGTAGCCTGTAGGTTCTGTGCCAAAATACTCTTGCTGTCCCCTTGGTATGAAAAGCTGGACTGCCCTGTTCTAGGAGGTTTCTTCAAAAGTAGTTTTTAGGTGGAGCGGCGCAGATATTTGAAGGAACGTCATTTCGTAATTAAGGCTCTGCAACATAAAATAAGCAGTTATACGAAACGGGAGGCGGTCTGCAAGATTAGAGACACACAAAGGGACTGTAGAAGCAGATGAAGGGGAGAGAGGCGCTTTCTTAAGGAGAAAAGGATGTTTCTAGTGAAGAGAAGAAAGGACAATAAACGCAGTGACAGCGAAGAGAGCAGTGGAAAGAACAAGGCCCAATGGGAGCCTGGAGAGGAGGAATGTGATGTCTTTCAGTTAAAGGTAAAGGGACCCCTGACCATTAGGTCCAGTTGTGGCCGACTCTGGGGTTGTGGCGCTCATCTCGCTTTATTGGCCGAGGGAGCCGGTGTACAGCTTCTGTATGGAGTCAGACGGCTGGTCTATTTAGTTTATTATTGTCTGCAATGACTGGCAGGAGCTCTTCAGGATTTCAGGCAGGGGGCATTCCCAACCCTACCTGGAATGCCAGGTGCATTTGAGAGCAGATGCACTAGCCCTGACCTCTGGTCCTTCCCTTAAACCTAAAGATTTTGGTCCTCCTGTTTCTGGATAAAGGGCTGATTTATATAGGAAGCTGCTTTCTGTTAAACAAAACCACTGGTCTGTGTTTAGCTCAGTGTTGTCTATGTTGTTTGGCAGTGACTCTCCCGAGTTTACTCTCCCAGCCTTACCTGGGAGATCGAACCCAGGACGGGAACCATTTGCTTTGCTGCGATAGCCCCTTTGTAACTGAAAGACAAGGGATGCAGGTGGTGCTGTGGGTTAAACCACAGGGTCTAGGGTTTGCCAATCAGAAGGTCGGCGGTTCGAATCCCCGCAACGGGGTGAGCTCCCATTGCCTGGTCCCAGCTCCTGCCAACCTAGCAGTTCAAAAGCACATCAAAGTGCAAGTAGATAAATAGGTACCGCTCCGGCGGGAAGGTAAACGGCGTTTCCGTGCGCTGCTCTGGTTTGCCAGAAGCGGCTTAGTCATGCTGGCCACATGACCCGAAAGCTGTACGCTGGCTCCCTCGGCCAATAAAGCGAGATGAGCACCACAACCCCAGAATCAGCCATGACTGGACCTAATGGTCAGGGGTCCCTTTACCTTTACCTTTAAGCTGGATTTGGACCTCACCGCACCTCAAATATAGAGTAACAGCCCCTCTGCCTTTCTGACTGTCCTCTGCCCGCTTTGGGCATTGCAAATGAACAAGGGTGTGGGGAGAATCTCTTTCCACTTCCTCCAAGCCAGACACCGTTCTATAAACCTCATATCATGTCTACACCGCCTCCTCACCGCGAACCCGTCGCGCTCTCCTTGCGAGGAAAGGTGAAAGCCAGGTTGCAAAGCGTGAGCAGATTGCTAATGAGCGGGGAGAGTTAAATATTTGCAGCTCGGAGGTGGAGGAGAGAGAGGAAGGCAGGCGAGGACCAGGCCCAGAGGGCAACTCTCGGCCAGGGGCCATTTCTCAGCTGTCGGGAAGGGGAATCAGATTGCAATTCGAGTCTCCTTGACAGCTTTTTGGGTGTGTGATGTTTTGGTGGGCCCCCAAAAGTAATAAGCTCACAACCGGGAACATTGCAAAAAAGGAAAGGAGAAGAATCCAAGTGCTCTAAGAAAGTGGGGAGCTTTTGCAGCCCAGGGGCCACATTCCCTTATGGAGAACGGTCTGGGGGCCACATTCCAGGGGTGGACAAGGGCTGGGTGCTAAAGGTGGGCAGGTCAGTTGATACGACTCTAAATGTGGCAACAGACTGTATTCCAGCTGCACAAGTGTCACACACAGTTCCACACAACCCTCTCCCTCATAGGAACATAGCTGCCTCAAGCTGTTGCAACATGGGACCTTCTGCACTCAGTGCAGGTGTTCTTCCTTTGAGCCATGTATGCTCCTAAGGACGCTGCCTTATACAATGGTACCTCGGGTTAAGAACTTAATTCGTTCTGGAGGTCCATTCTTAACCTGAAACTGTTCTTAATCTGAAGCACCACTTTAGCTAATGGGGCCTCCCACTGCAGCTGCGCCGCTAGAGCACAATTTCTGTTCTCATCCTGAAGCAAAGTTCTTAACCCAAGGTACTATCTCTGAAGCGTCTGTAACCTGAAGCATCTGTAACTGAGGTACCACTGTACCATGTTAGAGCACAGGTCCCCTTAGCTGAGTGCTTTTGGCAAGAGTTCTCCAGGGCTTCAGGTAAAGGACATGGCAATGCCAGGGGTGGAACCTTTAACCTTCTGAATGCGAAGTGGGTATCCTGCTCCTCAACTATGCCCCTCCCTCAAGGAAGGATACCAGGCTGTGCATTATATCAACTCCGATGATATCTCGCCCACTTTTGTCTACTGCTTCTCCAGATTCTTCCCCAGGTCTGCTAACGTGCCATTCTCTTTCGGCGGAGATTCTGTGGATTTCACCTTCTGCATGCAAGGCAGGAGTTCTCTGCCACTGCTCTATAGCAAATGGCCCTGAGAGAAATGGGGTGGGTGGGGGTGGGAATGCACTGAAAAGTTTGGAATGAACCAATGACTGAACGTGTAAACGCCCCACGAGCGAATCGGAGCATGAATGCAACTGCTCATGGTTGCATGACTGCCCCCGCACATCTATCTGAACGAATGCTCTATAAAGACTGGATATAAACTAACCTCTGCATAAGCTGTGTGCAAGCAGGTCAGGAAGAATGCACGACAAGAACATGTGAAACGGGCCCTCAGAAAACCTGCCTCTCCACACCTATTAGCCTATGAATATATTCTGCGTCAGCTGAAGTTTCCAAGCCATCTGCAACAGCTCAGTCAGTAGAGCATGTGACTGTTAATCTCAGGGTCGCGAGTTCGAGTCTGACCTTAGGCAGAAGAAAATCCTGCATTGACGGGTTGGACTAGATGACCCACGTGGTCCCTTCCAACTCTATGATTCTGTGATCCTAGAGGGTAGCCCCACGTTGAGGCTTCTCCAAAAGGCCTTCCTCTTGCGCATAAGAACATTAAGAAGAGCCTACTGGATCAGGCAAATGGCTCCTATACCCAGCATCCTGTTCTCACAGTAGCCACCAGATGCAGCAGGACCTGAGCACAAGAGCCCTCTCCGCCTTCTCTGGTTTTAGAAGCACTATTGCCTCCAACCATGGAGGCAGATTGTGGCCATCATGGCTAGTCTCCGTTAATAGGTAAAGGGGGACCCCTGACCATCAGGTCCAGTCATCAGTGGCGTAGCGTGGGGGGTGCAGGGGGGGCCGGCCGCACCGGGCGCAACATCTGGGGTTAGGGCAAATCCATGGGTTAGGGGGCGCAAATCCACAGGTTAGGGGGCACAAATCCACGGGTTAGGGGGCGCAAATTACTTGCCTTGCCCCGGGTGCTGACAACCCACGCTACGCCACTGCCAGTCGTGACCGACTCTGGGATTGTGGCGCTCATCTCGCTTTATTGGCCGAGGGAGCTGGCGTACAGCTTCCGGGTCATGTGGCCAGCATGACTAAGCCACTTCTGGCGAACCAGAGCAGTGCACGGAAACGCCGTTTACCTTCCCGCTGGAGCAGTACCTATTTATCTACTTGCACTTTGATGTGCTTTCGAACTGCTAGGTTGGCAGGAGAGTCGCCATTAATAACCTTTTCCTATTAATTTGTCTGGTCCTCTTTTACAGCCACCCATGTTGCTGGCCATTGCTGCCTCCTTGTGGGAGGGAGTTCCGCAGATTAACTGAGCGCTGCACAACAAAGTGCTTTCCTTTATCCCTCCCCGAACCTTCCACTTCATCCGGTGTCTATTGGAGTCCTGGTGTTAATGAAGAGGGAGGGAAACGTTTTGCTCTTTGCTTTCTCGACTCCATGCATAATTCTACCGACTTCTAAAAATCATGTGTCTTGGTGGAGCGCACCAGCAATTCTCTCAAAGGCAACCCTGCAGAGCAATTTTCCAAACTGCTTTAGGCAGGAATGTGCAGGGCGCGAATTGAGTTCTGGCCTTGGGCCAGGATGCACGCTGGGGGCAGCAGAGGCTGCGTGGACTGAACTGCAAGATATAGTCTGTTTGTGACTGTGGTTTTTATTTTTTTCACCAGGATTTTTTTTTTTTAAGCATTCTTTCTTTTACACACATACTTGCAGGGTGGGGAGAGTCAATGTAATCAGCAGGAAGCCAAACACTCCCAACGGTCTCGTGTCAATGAGGTTTTTTGTTTACGGACGGAGCCCACCCGGATTCCAGCCCAAATGCCAAGCGCCCCCCACGTACGGGGCCTAGGCACAGCACAAAGCGAGCCTTTGGACAAGGAGAGGGAAAGGTTATGCTCATTAGCATGCAGCTCAGGGCTACTTTACTAGA